CGTTGGTGTTGTCGGTATAGGGTTCTGGTGTTGGGTGGTTTTCAGAACCCTAAACCCTAAACCCTAAATCCTAAACCCTAAGCCCTAAAGCCTAAACCCCAAACCCTAAACCACAAGCGCTAAACCCTATGTCGTTTCGGCTCAGGAGAAGTTCTTGGTGTTCATCAACGACTTGTTGGCGTCAGGATGCTTCACTGCTTTGGGGCTTGTTTAGGTTTCTGGTTTAGGGTTTAGGGTTCAGGGGTGAGGGTTTAGGGTTTAGTTTGCTTGGTTTTGCGGAGGATTTTCCTCTTTCTTTTTTTAGTCGCTAGTTCTTAAAGGCAGAACTAGGGAATCGGGTCTTGTCTTTAGGGGACGATTGCCTAAGTTCGATTTTTGGGCCTAGCAATTCGTTCATGATCAGGCTCCCTTCCCTTCTTTGCCCCGGCTACTTGGGAGCCCAATTTCTGACGCGTACGAGTAGAAGGTAAGCCTTTTAAAGCCGTAAAGCCTTAAACCCCACAAAAGAGAGAGAGAGAGAGAGAGAGAGTGTGTGTGTGTGTGTGTGTCTGTCTGTCTGTCTGCCTGCCTGCCTGCCTGCCAGCCTGCCTGGCTGGCTGTCTGTCTGTCTGTCTGTCTGTCTGTCTCTGTGTGTGTGTGTGTGTGTGTGTGTGTGTGTGTGTCTGTGTGGGTGGTTTGGTGGTTGGTTGGTTGTTTGTTTGCTTGCTTGCTTGTTTGTTTGTGTGTGTGGTTGTGTGTTTGTTTGTTTGTTTGTTTGTTTGTTTGTTTGTTTGTTTGTTTGTTTGTTTGTTTGTTTGTTTGTGTGTGTGTCTGTTTTTGTGTAACATTTTTGTGTATTTCAGGCTTGGGTTGTGCCTATGCCAAAACCGTTCACCAACCCCCTGAGAGCGGCGTGCTCTTGGGCAGGAGACATTGCAGACCTTTACGCGATGGACGAGAAGGACTGAGCTCCGTATGCCTTGGGATGTTCCCCATTATACAAACAGCCCTTGATAGGGATTATCGTCTCTAGTACGCCCTACTATAATCCCAACTTTGGGACGGTTAGTATAAGGGGGAACATCCCAATCCGTATGCCGTAAGATGCCATAAGTTACCAAAGTTCTCCAGCAGACTTGGGGGGGAGGAGGTGGGACGACATCAGCTGTAGAGAATTTTCGAAACCCTAAACCCTAAACCCTAAACCCCAAACCCTAAACCCTAAACCCTAAACCCTAAACCCTAAACCCTAAACCCTAAACCCTAAACCCTAAACCCTAAAGCCTAAGCCCTAAACTTTTAAAGGATAGGATTGGGAAGGATGCAAGGCTTCGGCCGAGCTCTCCAGACAGCCCAAACCCCCAAACCTCAAACCCTAAACCCCAAACCCTAAACCCTAAACCCTAAACCCTAAACCCTAAACCCTAAACCCTAAATCCTAAACCCCAAACCCTAAACCCTAAACCCTGAACAACCCCTAGTCGAGGCTCACCTCCACCGCAATCGATGCGCAGACCCCATTCAAAGAAAGATCGTATTTAGGGTTTAGGGGCTTAGGGTGTAAGGTTGAGGGTTTAGGGTTTAGGGTTCAGGGTTCAGGGTTTAGGGTTTAGGGTTTAGGGTTAAGCCCGAAGCCCTAAACCCAGCAAGCCAGCACGGCACCACCTGCACCTCACACAAGTTTGCCATCCCATGATCTCATCGACAAGGCCGGGCAGCAAGTGGACACCTTGTAGTACATAATCTTGAAGATTAGGTAGACTCCTAAACCCGAAACCTTAAATCCCTAAATTAGGGGCGTTGTTATTAGCATAACCCTAAACCTTAAACTCTAAAATATGGCATTCCGGTGGTAAATTATGTATAGTACCCTGGATTCCCAAGTTTGAGGCGTTAGCTTCCCACAGAAGCGCTCCCTTGTTGTGTTCTAAGGTTGTTGAGCAGCCTAGCAACCCCAAACCCTGCACCCTAAACTCTAACCCTAAACCCTAAACACAAAACCCGAAACCCTACACCCTAAACCCCAAACCCTAAACCCCAAACCCCAAACCCTAAACCCTAAACCCTAAAACCCAAACACCCGAAACCCCACCAGGACGCCATCCGCAACGGCGTGCGAAGCGGCTGCAAGGGTGCTGGCATCCAGGACTTGGCAGAGGGGAACACGTTTTTTGTACCTTTTGGGGTTTAGGGTTTAGGGGTTTAGGAGTTCGGAGTTTAGGGTTAAGGTTTGAGGGTTTGAGATTATTTTTTTCGGGTTAGGGGCTTGGGAAATCAGTGGTTTTAGGGCTCTACGGGGTTTACTTAGGAGTTTTTGGACTTTTTTGGGTGAGGGGTTTAGGAATATGAGGTTTTAGGGTTTTAGGGATTTACGGTTTTGGGGTTTAGGTGCCAGGGTCATCTGGTTTTAGGGTTTCAGGGTTTAGGGTTTTAAGGTAATTAGGGTTTTAGGCTTCTTGGGTTCTTAGGGTTTTTGGGTTCCAGGGTCATTTGGTTTCAGGGTTTCAGGGTTTAGGGGTTTAGGGCTTTTGGGTTTGGGATTAAGGGTTTAGGGTTTTATGATTGGGGGTGTGGGGTTCTGGGTGCCTTGCGGCTTGCGGTGTGTTCGCGTGTCTTTGCCTTTTTTGTTTTTGAGTTGCTATGCGGATGGTGAGGGTTCCGGAAGGGCTGTGGGCTTTGGGGGGTTTGGGTGTTTACTTTGTGGTACTTTAGATCTTTACCTTTTTTGGGTTTATTGGGTTTCTTAATAAGGCAGCTAAAAGTTTAATTTAAAGCTACCCTCCTGAGTGCAGCCAAGTTTACTGCTTTTAGGGCTATTGCGGTTTGGGGTGTTTGCGGGCGTCGTGGTTTGATGCGGAATGGCACCACGAAATTCATTCACTTGTGACCGCCCGGCATTATCGTGCATTGCAGTGTAGTACGTATGTTGTGGTAGATGTATGGTACGTTATCGTCTACAAAAGTTCAGTATAGCATATTCTAGTAGCTCACAGTAGATGGTATCATTTTTCAGTCTTTCTCTTCTAGTGTATATTGCAATTCTAGTAGGTTATAGTAATGTGTAGTACAGTATGGGGGTTTATAGTGTAGTATACTGAGTTACAGTATACAGTCTTGCGTTGCAAACTTGAGTATAGAAAGTAAATGGCCGATTCCAGCAACTCTAGCAGATGGTGTATATTCTAGTCAAAAGTATCAAGTATGAATGTTTGCAAACATATCATAGTGTATTATGGTAAACATATTCCCGAAGGGTCCATGTACCTAACTGGGGAGTACTTGTGCCTTAAAGTACTTCCTAAAAAGGGACTTTGGGGCCCAAGATATAATAACGAGGTAATTACATGGACCCTTAGGGATTGTGTATGCTGTAGCCCACTGTGTATACTGCTGCCTAAACCCTAAACCCTAAACCCTAAACCCTAAAGTCTAAACCCTAAACCGTGTCTGATAGCGCCTTATAGGACACCCCGGAGAACTTGTGGAGCTTCTTCATCTCCCGCATCCGCGACTTGGCAAGGTTTGTACTGTTTCGGTCTTTAGGGTTTTAGGGTTTAGGGTTTAGGGTTTAGGGTTTAGGGTTTGGGGTTGAGGGTTGAGGGCAAAGGTTCGAACTAGGCCACAAGGCTCTAAACCCCGGCTAAAGCTCCCTGATCCTGGAAGTTCAAAACCATAAATCTATTTAGACCTGAAACCTTGAACCCTACCTAAGCCCTCGACCCTAGCGAAGCCACAGGCCTTGATGCGTTCATCCCAGGCACCATACCCCTCAGCCAACAAATCTAAGCCCTAAACCCTGGCCCCGAATCTCCCTGACCGGCAAATCTAAGCCTTAAACCCTCAGCACCCTAAGGAAAATGATAATTAGTAATGATAGGAATCATAGAAATAGTAACAATAAATTGAAAAATGAAAAACAATAGTTACACCCTACACCCCAGCCCTGGCCTTTGTGCCATACCATGAGCTGTCTCGTTATGCGGCGCAGCAGTTTCGATCTGGCTGCGCCTATAGACTTTGGAGGCATTCCAAATTTAACCAACTGTCAATCAGCATGTTTTGGTCATCAAAAAGGTTTTCTTTCATTCTCATTTCAATAAGGCAAGTTAAGACTTGTGTTTTTTTGGGTCTTTTCTCATTGTGTTAGATGGAATTGGTCACCGTTCCTGCAGTCTGTGTATGATACGCAATGATGCTTACGAGACACGAGACTTTCATTTGTTTGGGTTATTTGGGTAAATTAGCCTTCCAAGAAGCACGGACGGCCTCATTATTCGGTGCTGTAGCCCCGATCTGGACCTGCTCGGAAGCTTTGTCGTGCAAGTCAGACTGGATTCTGACGAGCACGGCCTTCGCGTCGGCCGGGTTCACCATCCGGTGTGATTTCATCAGCGTGGCGCAGCATGGACGCAAAGCCAGGGCTGAAGAAGAAACCGTGCGATGTGGGCATGGCTGACATGTCACGTGCCCAAGTGGATGATCACACGCCCTGAAACCCAAACCGGCCCTCCCTACGCCCTAACTGCACCTTACACGCCTAAACCTTAACCCCCCCCAGTCAAGTACAACATTAAGCTCGCAAGCCCTACCTGAAGGTTTCATGGGTTTATGAGTTGTAACAGCAACTCTGCTTATCTTGTTATGAGAGCCCATGAACCTGTAAGAAGACTTTAGACCGTAAGCCCCACACCCTACACGGCGCTATTCTAAGGTAGGATAAGGGGGACCCGTAACAGGGAACCCTTCTAAACTCTCTTCTGGCTCTGTTAAACAGGGACCTTATTCAGAGTGTCTATATCCCCAATGGCCCCCCCCCCCCCCCCCCCTAATCCTGAACCCTAAACGCTAAACCCTAAACCCTAAACCCTAAGCCCTAAACCCTAAACCGTAAACCGTAAACCCTAAACCCTAAACCCTAAACCCTAAGCCCTAAGCCCTAAACCCTAAACCCTAAACCCCAAACCCCAAACCCCAAACCCTAAACCCTACCTACACGGCTCCTCTCAGGAAAGAACCTGCACATGTCCCTGTGCTTCAGCCCCGTGGGCGACGCCATGCGCGGCCGTGCCCGAAAATTCCCGGCCCTGGTGAACTGTACCATGGCCTGTTTTGGGAGTTTAGGGTTTAGGGTTCAGGGTTTAGGGTTTAGGGCTTAGGGTTTAGGGTTTAGGGTTTAAGGTTTGGCAGGGTTTAGGTTCAGGGTGTAGGCATTTGGCTTTAGGTCAAGTTCATGGTCGTTCCGGGCATAGCTGCTAGGGCGTGCAGGGGTTTGCTGCTTGCTTGGGTTGGACTTAGGGTTAGCATTGTTGGTGTTCTTCTTGTTATTTGAGAGGCGGGGTCTTGGAGGGCCTTGAAGGGTTAGGGTGTCTCTTGGGCTCATGGGCGCGTTTCGGGTTGAGCCTTCCTTTCCCTTCATGCACGCTGCAATGCCGATTCCACTACATTTGCGAACAAAACCCTTAGGCCAAAGCCCTAAACCCTAAAACCCTCAAAAACCTTATGACCCTCAACCCTAAACCCTAGCCCTAAACCCTAAACCCTAACCCTAAACCCTAGCCCTAAACCCTAAACCCTGCAGCCCGAAAAACTCGCAAAAGGCACCGTCATCGATTGGTTCCAGCCTTGGCCGATGGATGCCCTGCAACTCGGCACAGCCATCTTGGGAGGTTTCGGGGTTTAGGGTTTAGGGTTTAGGGTTTAGGGTTTAGGGTTTAGGGTTTAGGGTTTAGGGCTAGGGTTTAGTAGGGTTTCGGGCCTAGGGTTTAGGGTTCTGGGCCTAGAGTTTAGGGGTTAGGGGGTGCTTAAGCCCTAAGCCTTAAACCCCAGGTGTAGGGAACAGGGTGCAGGTTTTGAGGGCATCAGGTTCGCGGGTTTTTAGGGGCTCATGGCTTACCTCAGCCGATGCAGTGGTTGACCCCAGCCCTAAACCCTGAATCCTAAACCCTAATCCCTAGACCCTAAACCCTAAACCCCAAGCTCTAGGAAGGCTTCAGGATTTGGTGTTTAGGCGGCGTTCCGGTTTAGCAGTGTCGGGATTAGGGTTTGGGGCTAAGGTTTAGTGACGTGGTTTTAGTGCGCATTCGTGATCTTTGGAGGGATTAGGGTTTAGGATTTAGGGTTTTAGGTTGTGCTTTTGAATCGGTGTTTTCATCTAGGCCTTGTGTCCTAAAGCCTGTTCCGCCGCCCCCTTGCCCTTTTCTTGGGAAACTGGGTTGCTGGGGAACCTGTTGCGCGGTAGGCCAACGCCCCAAACCCCTCAACCATGAACCCTAGACTAGCCTCGAACACCGAACTCTCAACCACAAAACCCTAAATCCAAACTCTTGAACCAACCCTACTGCCCAAACCCTAAATGTACCCCAGACCGAAACCCTAAACTCCAACCTGATTAAGCCCTAAGCCATAAACGTGAACCCTGAACCCTATTCCACCCTGCCACTACCCCTAACTCCTAAACAACCCGAAACCCTAAACCCTAAATCCTCAACCCCAAGCCCTAAACCCTAAACCCTAAACCCTCAACCCTAAACACGAAACCCTAAACCCTAAACCCTAAACCCGAAACCCGAAACCCTAAACCCTATCCTAAACCCACCCCCTTGTCAGGTACAACGTGGGAGCCAAGTTCTTGGAGCCCATTGAGCAGCTGGGCCCACAGGCACTTTTTTTGAAGAACGGTTTAGGGCTTAGGGCTTAGGGTTTAGGAATTAGGGTTTAGGGTTTAGGGATTAGGGTTTAGTGTTTAGGGGTTTAGGGTTTAGGGGTTTAGGGGTTTAGGGGTTTAGGGGTTTAGGGGTTTAGGGGTTTAGGGTTAGGGTAGGCTTGAGGGTGATTCCGGGTCTGTTTAGGGCTTAAGGGTGTTTGGGGTCACTTTGTGACCTTGGGGGGGGGGGGGGGGGTAGTGGGAGATTCGGCCGGGAATGGAGCAGCTGGGGGCACAGGCCAAGGGAGTCTTGAGGGTGGGTGTAGGGTCTGGAACCTTAAGGCCCTAAGGCCTAAACCTGAAACCCAGAACCCTAAAGCCTAAGGCTTAAAACCTAAATGCACAATGCCACCCTGGGGGACATATGCCGTTACTTTGATCTTTCAAGAGACAGAGCCAAGCGACTGGAAGTTCTTGCAAACGGGTATGCTGAGGTGCTGGATCGCTTGCGCAAGCTTCCCAGTCGACATGCCTGGCTCTGCGGCACAGAGGACAACTATGCCCAGGCCACAGGAACTACATCAGCCAAGAGGATCCTCCTTGCGAGGCTGAAATACCGCCTTGCCCGGATGAAACTGTTGCCGCGCAGAGTGAACAGTGTTTCTTTGTACTCTCTGCATATGGAGTTAAGCATTGGCCCATGCTCAGCGTTCTTGAGCTTCCGGATGCAGTCTTCAAGAGCTGCTATGTGCCCCCGCATGACTATACAGGCCTCCCATTTTATCGCGGTTGGACCAAAACCCAAGATGGCGACTTTCAAAAGGGCGGATTTGTGTCTACTGCCATGCCGAGCCAACTCTTTGACCATTTGAATGCACCCTAATCCCTAAATCCTAAACCCTAAACCCTAAACCCTAAACCCTAAACCCTGAGCCGTAGGTGCCTAACCCCTAGACCGCCCAGGAGCACGTTTAGGGGGTAACCGAGGGGTCGGAATGAATACTCATAGTATTCCCTTATGGTCCCCTAAGAACTATGCCTATAAACCCCCCCCCCCCCGCCCACCGAACACCCTATAATAATTTTTAAGGCCCCTATAGTACCCCTTATCCCTAAACCCTAAACCCTAAACCCTAAACCCTAAACCCTAAACCCTAAACCCTAAACCCCCTAAAACCCCTACTCTAATCATGAAGGCCCCTATATTAGACCTGTTGTCTGCCCATCGGCAAATTCGAGGTAGCTGGGCCGGGCTCGCCCCAAGGTGCTATTTAATGCTACTGGTGGCAAGGAGTTTAGGGTTTAAGGTTTAGGGTTTAGGGTTAGGGTTTCAGGGGTTTAGGGGTTAAGGGGTTTAGGGTTCTATCCGCTTATGTAGCCTTCAAGGGGTTCTACTGTAGAAGGCACCTTTCGCCCTGCTAAGAAGCAGGACGGTGGTTCGTGCAAGCGTTTCTTGACATGAAGGCTTGACAAGAGAGGGGCTGAATTCGCTAGATTTAGGGTTTAGGGTTTAGGGTTTAGGGTTTAGGGTTTAGGGTTTAGGGTTTAGGGTTTAGGGTTTAGGGTTTAGGGTTTAGGGTTTAGGGTTTAGGGCTCACCGTGAACCTCAAACCGTCAGCCTCCGCAAAAACAAGCACCCCCGACCCTCAGCCCCCTAAAGCGCCCCTTAAGCACCAGCCACTTTAACCCCCCCCCCCCCCCCCTAACCACTCATCAGTGGAAGCCCACCCCCCCCCGCCCCCCCCCCCCCCCCCCCCCCAACAAAAAAAAAAAAACCTGCCTTTTATTCGCCAGGACAGCCCAGTGCGCCAGGCCTTGCAAAGGGAGCGGGGAAGGGGGTTCAGGGTATTAGGTCGTGGGGTTTACTCTGTGGTGCTCTTTGCTGCAACCTTAGATCCTTAGCCTGCTTGGGTTTTTTTTGGGGTTTCTTAAGGCAGCTAAGAACTTAATTTATAGCTACCCTACCAAGTGCAGCCAAGTTCTGGGCCCCTAAGCCCTCCAAGCGTGAAGGCGACGAAGTTTGGGACTTTTGCTGGCATTTCAGGAGACCCAACCCCAATCCAGGGGACTAAGACTCGCACGCCTAAGGTTGTACCCCCAAAGCTTGCCCTTAATCAACATGCTCATGATATGGCCCTTATACTTCTTTTAAAAGGGTCCCCAAAATCCAAGGGTACAACCTTAAGGGTCCAAGTTCTCGCCTGGTGGTACCCTCATTCCGTTTGTTCGGGGGTGTGAGGCTTCAGCTCCACAGGATTACGATTCAGGGTCTAGGGTCTAGGGTCTAGGGTTTAGGGTTTAGGGTATGGGGTTTAGGGTTTAGGGTTTAGGGTTTAGGGTTTAGGGTTTAGGGTTTAGGGTTTAGGGGGTTCCCAGCATAAACCCAAAAAACCCTAAGCCCTAAACCCCAAACGCTGAATCCCCCCCCCCCCCCCCCCCCCCGCACAAAAAAAAGAGAGAAAAATAAGCCCGAAGCCCCCTTAAGGAAGGAGGTTCCTGCGCATCGGACCCTTGACTAGGTCGCTGTTTCGGAATTGAACTTAAGTTCCCACTGTTTTCTTAATTCGCAAAAAAAGCAACATACTAGAGATCCTGTGCTGTAGTTTCACCCTAAAAACTGAGCCCTAAACCCTAAACCCTATAAAGCCTCAACCCTAGACCGTAAACCCTACGAAGCCTGATGAGACCCTATGAAACCCTACGAAACACCGTGAAACCCTATGAAACCCCGTAGGCCCTAAACCCTAAACCCTAAACCCCAAACCCCAAACCCCAAACCCTAACCCCTGAACCCTGAACCCTAAACCCTAAACCCTAAACCCTAAACCCTAAACCCTAAGCCCTAAACCCTAAACCCTAAACCCTACACCCCAAACCGTAGTGACCAGGGAATCATGGAGTTCTTGCCCTACAGCTTCGAAGCTGCAGGCGTCCCAAAAGATGTGTCTTTCTGCTTTGGGAAGATCTGGGTTTGGGGTTTAGGGTTTAGCGCTTCGAGTTTGGGGTTTAGGGTTTAGGGGGTTTCGGGGGTTTAGGGGGTTTAGGGGGTTTAGGGGGTTTAGGGGGTTTAGGGGGTTTAGGGGGTTTAGGGGGTTTAGGGGGTTTAGGGGGTTTAGGGGGTTTAGGGGGGTTAGGGGGTTTAGGGGGTTTGGGGTTTAGGGTTTTTATGTGGTTTAGGGGGTTCAGGGGGTTCCAGGGGTTTAGGGGTTTAGGGGTTTTTAGGGGTTTTAGGGGGTTTTAGGGGGTTAGGGGGTTTTAGGGGGGGGTTAGGGGGTTTAGGTGGTTTAGGGGTTTAGGGGTTTAGAGCGGGGTGTAGGGGTTTAGGGCGTTTTAGGGGGTTTGGGGTTTAGGGGTTTCGGGGGTTTTAGGGGGGTTTAGGTGGGTTTAGGGGGTTTAGGGTTTTAGGGGGGTTTAAGAAGGTTTAGGTGGTATTAGGGGGTTTAGGGGGTTTAGGGGGGTTTAGGTAGGGGGTTTAGGGGGGTTTAGGGGGTTTTAGGGGGTTTAGTGGGTTTGGGGGTTTATGGGGTTTAGGGGGTTTTAGCGGGGGTTTTGGGGGTTTAGGGGGTTAGGGGGTTTAGGGGTTTTTAGGGGGTTTGGGGGTTTGAGGGGTTTGAGGGGGTTTAGGTTTCCGGGTTTACCCTACTCGCTGTTTGAGAGCTTGACTCCCCTTATGATACCCAGAACTACAAAACAAATGGGCACCCTCATCATTCTTACTTTACTGGACGGTTTAGGGTTTAGGGTTTACAAGGGCCATATGAGGAGTATACTAAGGGGAACTTTTAGGGGTACAACCTTAGGGGAAACCCTAAACCCTAAGCCCTTCACCCCGAAACCCTCAACCTTAAACCTTAAACCCTGAACCCTGAACCCTAAACCCTAAACCCTAAACCCTGTAGACCCTGAATAAGAAGCCGCGTTTCGAAGCCCGCCAGGCAACGTGGCCACGCAGTTCATGGAGGTGCAGAGGCTGGTCATCTCCCTTCCCCGCGCGCAGCTTCATGGGTTTAGGATTTAGGGTTTGGGGTTTAGGGTTGAGGGTTGAGGGTTGAGGGTTGAGGGTTGAGGGTTACTAGTTACTAGGACCCAGAGTAGGTCATTTTTTGCCAATTTTTGTTAGGGGCCAGGTTCCCCTCTAAGAAAACCCCTTTAAACCCGAAAGGGTACCCTGTTTGTATTCCTGGGTTACTGTTGAGTATAGGTTAGATGGCTCAGGGTCTAGGATTTGGGGATTCGGTTTCGCGGGTTGAGTGTAGGGGTTCGGTTTGCGCGGGTTGTGTTTAGGGCCTTTCTAGGGTCTTGGGTTATGACAATCAGCCCGCGCCTCTGCAAGCCGAGCGCCCCCCCATCTAGGAATCTCGGAGGCCCTAAACCCTAAACCCCAAACCCCAAACCCTAACCCCTGAACCCTAAACCCTAAGCCCTAAACCCTAAACCCTAAACCTTAAACCCTCAACCCTAAACCCTAGCCCCTGTCGAACCCTCTCGGCTTGGAGGTTTGTAGCCTTTTGGACTCCTAGTCTAGGCTACTGAATAAGCTAGTCCTACCCTCTTAGCCCCACAGCCCCGCAACAAAACAGCCCGAGCCCAAGTTTAGGGTTTAGGGTTTAGGGTTTAGGGTTTAGGGTTGAGGGTCTTCAAGCCAGCTTTTCTACATCGAAGGGTTTAGGGTTTGGGGTTCCTGGTTTCCCTTAACCCAGAACCCTAAATCCCAATCCCTCGCCACCAAAACCCCTAAACCCGAGCACCCCGGAAGCACTTCGGTAAACCCTAAACCCTAAACCCTAAACCCTAAACCCTAAACCCTAAACCCTAAACCCTAAACCCTAAACCCTAAACCCTAAACCCTAAACCCTAAACCCTAAACCCTAAACAGGCGCTTCGCCTACACTACTCCTAAGAGCTTCTTGGAGCTGATCAAGCTCTACACCTCCATGGTGGGCAACAAGGCGGGTTTAGGGTTTGGGGTTTAGGGTTTAGGGTTTGGGGTTTAGGGTTTAGGGTTTAGGGTTTACGGGAGCCGCCTGGGGTGCGCTCTTGAGATTTGTTGGGTGCCTGCTTCGGTAGTTGTCTAGCTTAGGGTCCCTTTAAGGGGTCCTTATGATACAGGTGCCGTATTATATAGGGGACCCACAAAGGGATCCGAATTTAGAGAACTACCCACTTCCTCATGAAGCTTTTGTTGTGGGTTGGTGTTTAGGGTATCTAGGACCCAGAGCAAGGCCCTTATTACCTTGTTTCGGGGTTAGGCACCCGTTTAAACCGACAAGGGCACTCTTCATATTCCTAGCTTACCCTTAAGCCCTAAACCTTGTAAATCTTATAAGCCTTATGAGCCTTATGAAACCTCTAAAACCTTATAAGCCTCATAGACCTTGTAAACCTCATAAACCTTATACAACTTATAGACCTCATACGCCTTACAAAACGTATAAACCTGATAAACCTTATGAACCTCATAAACGTTATCAACTTCATGAGCCTTATGAAACATATAAACCTCATACGCCTCATAAAGCCGCATAATCCTTATCAACCCTATAAAACCGTATAAACCTCATAAACCTTGTAATCCTCATAAACCTCTTGCGCCTTATGAAGCCTCATAAACTTACTATAAGCCTCATAAACCTCATAAGCCTTGTAGACCTCACAAACCTTAGAAAACCTTCTAAAAAACCTTAAAACAACATATCAACCTTTTCTACAGCTTAAATAAAACCTTATAAACCTCTAAACCCTAAACCCTAAACCCTAAACCCTAAACCCTAAACCCTAAACCCTAAACCCTAGAGGGAGCCCTCGACTTGCCTCAGGTCGACGCACTGGAAGACCAGAAGAACCGCCTCACCAACGGTCTGGAGAAGCTGCACGCCACGTCCGAGCAGGCCGATGGTTTAGGGTTTAGGGTTTAGGGTTTGGGGTTCAGGGTTTAGGGTTGAGGGTTTAGGGTTTAGGGCTAGGGTTTGGGGTTTAGGGTTTAGGGTTTCGGGTTTCGGGTTTGGGGTTTGGGGTTTAGGGTTTGGGGTTTAGGGTTTAGGTTTTGGGGTTTAGGGTTTAGGGTTCAGCGCCACTCCCCGGCTTTGACCTCCCCCCAAGAACCTCCTGGACTCCAATTTTCCCAAGTCAAAACTCCCACTGTTACCTGTCCCGAAGCTAACACGCCTAAACCGCCTAAAACCTAACCCCTAACTCCTAAACCCTAAAGCCCTAAACCCTAATTAAACCCAAACCCTTAACCCTAAACCCTAAGCCCTACTCCTCCGCAAACTCTAAGGCCGCAGCCCTACAAACCCTCGACCTTGTGCAGGTGGCTGGCCTGGAGGAGGAGCTCAAGGAGAAAGCCGTGGTCGTGGCGGAGAAGGTGGCGGCGGTAATACCGGGGTCGGACTGCTTGTCCCTTTTACCCGAAACCCGAAACCCGAAACCCGAAACCCGAAACCCGAAACCCGAAACCCGAAACCCGAAACCCGAAACCCTAAACCCTAAACCCTAAACCCTAAACCCTTAACCCTAAACCCTAAACCCTAAACCCTATTCTAATGATTAAGGCCCCTATAGTAGATGGACCACCGGTCCGTGAAGGGTTTAGGATCCTGGGCATTTGCTTTGGGGTTCAGGGTGTAGGGTTTAGGGTCTAGGGTTTAAGGTTTAGGGTTTTTAGAGGTTAAGTTAAGCTACCCATACACAAAGACTTCCACCAAAATGGAACAAAACGTACATGCAGCTCCCGGGTCTACGAGGGCTTATGGCCTGCAGTCGGCGGATTCCAAGCCTTAAAAGGCCTCAACCCTAAACCCCATACCCTGGCTTTAGATTTCGGGCTTCAGGGCTTTTCAGGCCCACGGCCGCATGCCCTAAACCTCAAACCGAGAAGCCCTGAACCCCACAATGGGTCCTCCTCCGACCAGGCCGCTGCGGCGGATGTCTTTGCCAAGGAGGCAGGCTGTGGGTTTTGGGATGTTGGTTCAGGGTTTTCGACTTGAGGACAGAGGGTTTAGGGTTTAGGGTTTAGGGTTTAGGGTTTAGGGTTTAGGGTTCAGGGATGTTGGTTCAGGGTTGAGGCTTTATAGGAAAGCGGACACGGGGCTCTGGCAACATGTGCTTGAAGTGCTTCAGGTCTTTTGTGTGGCCACGTGCCGGCATCAGACTCGACAGGGTTTAGGGTTTAGGGTTTAGGATTTAGGGTTTAGGGTTTAGGGTTTAGGGTTTAGGGTTTAGGGTGGAGTTCGAGCTCATGAACAACAAGCGGGACATACAAATGACATCTTGCAGTCGAAGGTTTAAAGGCCTGTAGGGCCTTTGGGGGCCTTTAGGGCCTTTACGGTTGAGGTTTTCAGGGTCTGGGGTTTGGGGTTTAGGTCTTCGGCGTTGGATGGTTTTCGGGTTCCTTCAGGGCTTCATTCACAAAGGCGTTGGGCGGATTCAGGGTTTTTTCGGTTTTTCGTACCCGGCGATGGACCCTTTGCTACAACAAGCCCCTAGTAAAGCTAGTAGCTGGGCCGATGAGGTGGGTGAGAAGAAGGCCACTGTCGAGGAGGAGTCGAGCAAGGCGCATTTGGCTTCTGTCGGTCCTTCATTGTTGTGCTGCTCCTGGTTTGGGGTTTAGGGTTTAGGGTTAGCTTCTGCTGAATCCTCAGCCCACAAACCCTAAACCAGAGAGAACCTCAAACGCCGAGACCCTAAGATCCTGAACCGGATCCCCCTTCGCGCATCCAGCAGTCCTAAAACCGAACGCAAGCCCACACATCCTAGGCCCTGAGCCCAATTCGGAACTACGGAATAGGGTTTAGGGTTTAGGGTTTAGGGTTTAGGGTTTAGGGTTTAGGGCTTAGGGTTTAGGGTTTAGGGTTTAGGGTTTAGGGGACTTTGGGACCATCATGTAGGAACAAGCGGACCTAACTCCCGCTCAAGAACTACTACATAAGAGTTTTGATCTACATTGTGAGCGTTTGTTTGGGCACCGTATCCAACAGCGAACAAGTCGAAAAGAACGCCCAAAAGAGTGTTACCCTAAACCCTAACCCTAAACCCTAAACCCTAAACCCTAAACTCTAAGCCCTAAGCCCTAAGCCCTAAGCCCTAAACCCTAAACCCTAATATCCCCTTAGCGTTGGTGCCGCTACGTCTCGGCGGCATCTGGCACTTGGGGTGTTGTGGCTCTTGCGCGTGTTCCCTCCTCCCCCGCCAGAACAAAACAGGGAGGCCTGTAGAGGTATACTTATTACCACCTATAAGTTGTAAGGTACAAAGGATCATAGCTTAAAGGTTGTAACTTGTATTGTATAATATTTTGATTCAGAGGGTCTTGTTTCGGAATGTTCTTTAGACGCGTTACACCTCTTACGGAGGAGAGTCGAGGGCCCTCGGTCATAAGATCAGCGAAGGCCTTGGGCAACCCATACCTCGAGAAGTTAAAGCCATTTCTTTAGGTTGCCTAAGAGTCCATGTACCTAAATAGGGAATTCTTGGACCTTAAAGTGCTTCCTATATAGGGACTTTGGGGCCCGAGTATATACTAACAAGGTTTTTGGACCCTTAGGGTTACCGAAGAGTCTGATACAGAATCGTCGTGCCAAGGAGCCCACAACAGTAGGTGTGGCGACAGCTCAAACACACAAAAGCTGGGAAACGCCACTTGAAGGTGCGAGACCCCTAACGCCTAAAGCCATAAACCCAACCCTGATCCCTCAGCACCAAACCCTGAGCCCCAAAACCCAAACCATACACCCTAAACCCTAAACCCTAGACCCTAAATCCTAAACCCTCAACCCTAAACCCTAAACCCTAAACCCTAAGTGGTCCCAGGCGGCAGTAGAAGCCGAGAAGTGCGCGAAGATCGCCAAGGAGGCCCTTGAGCCGCGAGCGGCTGAGGGCTGACTTTTCTTCTAAGTCCAAGTTATGCTAGGGTTTAGGGTTTAGGGTTTAGGGTTTAGGGTTGAGGGTTCAGGGTTTAGGGTTTAGGGCTTAGGGGTGGAAGTTTTTTTTCTCCAAGCGTTCATGGACTATAGGGTTGAGGGTTTAGTTCGTAGGGCTCCCTCAGGAACCCCATGAAACGGTGTTTAGGGTTTAGGGTTTAGGGTTTAGGGTTTCGGATTTAGGGTTTAGGGTTTAGGGTTTAGGGTTTAGTTGTTTTCTTTCTTCCTAGGTCCTAGGTTACCGAAGTACCTAGCTCAACTTCCTAAGCGGCCTCGTTTGAAAGGAAGTTCTAGGCACCCTCCATTCTAAGCATTCGTGAAAAAAGCCTCATGAATCCTTAGCACTTCAGAAGATCCTTATAACCACTTACCAGCCCCCCTAGGATGCCCAGTAGCACCCTTATTCCCTGTTTTTTTTTTTTTTTTTTTGGGGGGGGGGGGGGGGGGGGGGGGGGGGGGGGCTTCGGTTCCCTTATAGACCCTTTTAAGCCCTAAACCCTAAACCCTAAACCCTAAACCCTAAACCCTAAACCCTAAACCCTAAACCCTAAACCCTAAACCCTAAACCCTAAACCCTAAACCCTAAACCCTAAACCCTAAACCCTAAACCCAAACATCCTTTTTCATCCTAGTTTGAAGGGGAAGCTGGCCTTTCCAGGCCTTGAGAAGCCCACAAATCTTTCCAGCCCGAAGGCCCGTCCTGGCCCACCGTATCAGCCCTTCATAACCCCCAAAACCCCCGTAAGCCTTTCATAAACAGGAAACCCTAAACCCTAAACCCTAAACCCTAAACCCTAAACCCCTCAACAAGTCTAGGCCCTCCTCATAAACTCTGCAGCAACATCCTCACAAGGCCCACCTAAACCCCTCAGAAGCCCCTACGCCCACGCCACGCTGCGCCCCAGGTATCCCTAAACCCTTGAACCCTAAACCCTAAACCCTAAACCCCAACCCCTAAACTGTCAACCCTCAACCCTAAACCCCCCTAACGCCACGCTGCGCCCCAGGTGTCCGTCCAGCAGGCCGACTGCGAGAAGGACCTTGCGGCCGCAATTCCTCTGGTCAAGCAAGCCGAGGCATGAATGAGCTCAGGGTTTAGGAAAGTTTAGGGTTTAGGGTTTAGGGTTTAAGGATTTAGCTTTGTGGCAGGGGTTTGCATGGCTTTGGGGGGGTTTTAAGGCTTGGGTTCTTTTGGAGTGTGTTCCGGTGGTTGATGTTTCTTGGTGTGAAGATCCGCGGGTGAAGCTTGTGGATGAGTCTAGGGTCCTCCTGCGGCAGGATTGTGTGTGTGTGTGAGACTCAAGACTGCCACCCACAGCCCCCAAACCCTAAGCCGGAAGCCCTAAACCTTAACTTAGTAGTAGAGTAGAGAACCTTAACCTTTTTTTGAGTATAATCCCTATAAATACCCAAAGGTACACCTTTAGTCCCCCTAGGTTACTGGACAACTAAGTTAAGCCAGACCCTATCGGGTAACCGGAGAGTTGGCTCGTGCTCTGTCTTGGAAAGGTCACGGGGCTTTCATTTTCAACTAGCTCTGGGAAACATTGTGTGCTTCCCTGAACCCTAAATACTGGGTTTTGGAGTACTACACTTTAATACTTTTTTTGGTTCTGGGTTCCTGCAATAGCTAACTTATACCTAAAAAGTATATACTTTTTTTCCAGGGTCTACTCCAAAGCTAAGTAAACCGAAACACTCTGCGGGGCTTTGTTTGCGGTTGCTTTGGAGCTGGTCTTCAAGATTCTATGGGCACTTACTCTTACTCCATGTAGCCCATATGCCCAAACCTTAAACCTAGGACCATGCTGGGTCGTTCTTGTGGATGCCTCTGAGATTAGGGTCGAGGCGAACATCGCTGTGAGTTGTCTTGTCATGGCAAGCGGAACCCTGAAACTAAACCCGGAACCCTGACCTCTAACTCCACATACTCCGACCCCCGGTCCTGCCCTGCAGGCTGCTTTGGACGTGCTGGACAAGAAGGACAGATTGACTTGAAGGGTCTGGGCATTTGGGAAGTCTGGGCGTTTGGGAACCCCGAAGCCCTAAATTCTAAACCCTAAACCCTAAACCCTAAACCCTAAACCCCAAACCCCAAACCCCAAACCCCAAACCCTAAATTCAAAACCCCGACACGCCAAACCCCCAAACCCCAAACACCAAACACCAAACCCCAAACCCCAAACCCCAAATCCTAAACCCCAACCCTAAACCCTAAACCCCAAACCCCAAATCCCAACCCTAAACCCCAAACCCTAAATAAACCCTAAACCCTAAACCCTAAACCCGAAACCCTGAACTCCAAACCCCAAACCCCAAACCCTAAACCCTAAACCCCAAACCGCAAACCCCAAACCCTAAACCCCAAACCCTAAACCCTAAACCCCAAACCCTAAACCCTAAACCCTAAACCCCAAAACCCCAAACCCCAAGCCCTAAACCCCAAACCCCAAACCCCAAACCCCAAACCCCAACTCCCAAACCCCAAACCAACCCCAAACCCAAAACCCAAACCCAAAACCCCAACACCCCAAACCCGGCAGAGGGCACGGCCCAAACCCCAAACCCCAAACACCCAAACCCCCAAACCCCAACCCCAAACCCCAAACTCCAACAATAAACCCCAAAACCCTAAACAACCCTAAACCCCAACCCCCGCACCTAAAACCCTGACCCCTAAACCCCAAAAACCCTAAACCCCAACCCTAAAAACCCAACCCTAAACCCCACCCCATCCCAAAGCCCTAAACCCATAAACCCTAACCCTAAACCCTAAACCCTACACCCCGAAGCCCTAAGCCCAGCCTAAACCCTACCCAAACCCTAAACCCGAAACCCAACCCCCCAAACCCCAAGCCCTCAAACCCTAAAAACCACTAAGCCCTAAGCCCTAGACCCTAAACCTAAACCCTAAAAAACCCTAAACCCTAGCCCTAAACCCTAAACCCTCAACCCTCAACACCTCAACCCTCAACCCTCACCCTCAAACCCCTCAACACCTCGACCCTCAACCCTCAACCCTCAACCCTCACCCTAAACCCTCTAAACCTAGCACCTAACCCTAAACTCGAGGACCTTCCAGGAGCTGAAGGCCTTGGCCAAGCCACAGGCGGGGTGGACCTGGTCCCGGAGAGGGGCCATGCACTTGCAGGCGCACCTGAAGTTTTAGGGTTTAGGGTTTCAGGTTTTGGGGTTTGGGGTTTAGGGTTTTAGGGTTTGGGGGTTTGGAGTTGGGGTTTAGGGTTGGAGGGTTTTAGGGTTTGGGTTTAGGGTTTAGGGTTTGGGGGTTAGGCTTTGGGTTTAGGGTTTAGGGTTTGTGGTTTAGGGTTTAAGGTTTTGTGGGTTTAATGTCGGTTGAGGGGTTAGGGTTTTGGGATTTGGGGTTAGGGTTTGGGGCGAAGGGGTTTGGGGGTTTAAGTGATGCACTTGCAGGCGTAGCTTAACCTCAACCTCCCAAAGGGGGTTGGTGGAGGGCTTAGGGGCGGTGATATTGAGGGGTTGAGGCTGGCTGAAAAGAGAGCGGAGAGAGGCCGAGAAACTCGAGAAAGAAATGACAAAGATAGAGAGAGAGAGAGGGGAGCGGCAAAGAAGAGCAGAAAGCGGAGATAACGACGGAGGCTTTAGGCTTTGGGGTTTTTGATTTGATCCCCCAGGGCCCGGTTTGGGGGACCTTCGAGTCCGATTCGGAGGTCCAAAAGTTTCGCAAGCCGCGCTAATCTTGCCCTATTTAAGTGAAACCTAGATAAGGCCCTTTGCCTAGTAGCTGAGTGAAGCACACTTTACACTGGGATACGAGAAATCCCCTATGGAAAACTTTTTGTGCATGTTTTTGGGGGCTTATGAAACTGCCGCAACTAAGTTTGGGACATTGCTGAGTTTCCCTTATTGGTTTAAAGGATTTATTAGCCGTTTTAGGAACGGAACCATTTGAACCGCTGCAAACAGGGGCACCTCGTGCAACCTTGTTTTTTTTTTTTTCGCTCAGTTCTTGTGTTCTCGAATTCCCGTCGCCTAAACCCGAACTAAACCCTAAACCCTAAACCCTAAACCCTAAACCCTAAACCCGAAACCCTAAACGGGCCCCGCGAGCTCGCCTGCAGCCCCGCCCTAGCGGCTACGATGAGAACATCGAGCTGGACAAGAAGGGCGCCGTGAAGGATTGTGCTCAGTTTTTAGGGTTTAGGGTTTTAAGAGGGTTGTAGGGTTTAGGGTTTAGGGTTCACAGTAGGTTTAGGGGATTGTGCTTTCGTTTTCGGTACCCGAACCTACCCTTCCCACTCCGCCAACCCCAGCAGAAAAACCCTCAACCCCCGCACACTCTTCAAACATAGAACCCTGGACCCCAAACTATTTGATTCCCCCCTGGACCTGAACCCCAAGCTCTTCAGCACTAGAACCCTGACTAAGTCTCAAAAACCCAACGCCCCTGAACCGCGGAACCCTCCCAAACCCCCAAAACGCCCTAACAACCTATAGGGTTTAGGTCCTAAACCCTAACCCTAAACCCCTAAAACCTACCCTAACCCTAACCGAAGACTGCAGGACCCACTTGGAAGGGAGCGCAGAAGATGATGAACCAGCCGGAGAAAGTTCCTATCAACGTGAAAGGCCCCTGTAGGGCTTGGCTTTAGGGTTTGGGGTTTTAGGGTTTAGGTTTTTAGGGTTTAGGGTTTTAGGTTTGGGGTTTTAGGGTTTAGGGTTTAAAAGGGCTTTAGGGCTATCGGGGTTCAGGATTTCTGAAGAAGCTCGTCAGCAACTTGACGGGGCCATGGGCTGCTCCCATTTGTTTTTTTGTCTGGGTTTCCGTCTTTTACGTTCGGGCTTGAAGGGCTTTTGGGTTTAGGGTTTAGGTTTGGGTTTAGGGTTTAGGGTTTAGGGGTTTAGGTGGGTTTCCGGCTTTACTTAGGGCTTGAAGGGTTTTTGGTTTTAAAGAAGGTTGGGGCAAAAATGAAATTAGTTGTCCCAAATAACAGGTCCCCCTTGAAGGGGCTTTTTTTTTTAAGGGCTCTCCAGGATTGCTTTATTCTTTTCACCCCCGCCAACAAAACCCATGAACCTCAGGAACCTTGCCAATTTTACGAGTTAAGGCTTGAAGGCTTCAAGGGTTTTTAGGGTTTGAATGTCAAACCCTAAACCCTAAACTTGTGAGGAGCGCGTCTCGGAAGTATTGACCCCCCAGCAGAATGAAAAAAAAACAAAGAAAAATACAAGAATGATTCAGAGAAAATACAGTAGCGATTCCGGGAACACGGTGAATACAAAAAAAATGCAAGACAAAATACAAAAAAAAAAAAATGCAAGAAAAATACAAGAAAAAATACAAAGAAAAACACGACAAAAAAATGCAGAGAACATACGAGAAAATTCAAGGGGGGCGGGGGGGGGCGGAGGGGGCGGGGGGGTGGTGGGGGGGGGGGGGGGGGTTTTTTTTTTTCGTTTTTTTTTTTCCTATTTTTTTTTTTTTTTTCCGTGTTTTTTTCGCGTATTTTTTTCCGTATTTTTTTTTTTTTTTTCGTATTTTTCGTATTTTTTTTGCGTATTTTTTTTTCCGTTTTTTTTTTTTTTTTTTTTTTTTCGTATTTTTTGTATTTTTCGCGTATTTTCGCATATTTCAAAATCCAAGCAAAACACAAAAAAACACGGAAAAAGCACGCGAAACCTACGGAAAAATACGACTAAAACACAAGACCCCCCCCCCCCCGCCCCGCCCTCGCGCCCCCCCCCCCCCCCCCCCCCCGCCCCCCCCCCCCGCCCCCCCCCCCCCCCCCCCCCCCGCCCCCCCCCCCCCGCCCCCCCCCCCCCCCCCCCCCCCCCGCCCCCCCCCCCGCCCCCCCCCCCCCCGCCCCCCCCGCCCCCCCCCCCCCCCGCCCCCCCCCCCTCCCCCCCCAAAAACAAGACGAAAAACCCCCCCCTCCTCCCCGGCGAAAAACACGAAAAAAACACGAAAAAAACGCGAAAAAAATACGGAAAAAATACGGAAAAAATACGGAAAAAACACGGAAAAAATACGGAAAAAATACGCGAAAAATACGAAAAAAATACGACAAAAACACAAGCCCCCCCCCCCCGCGCCTCCGCGCCTCTTGTATTTTTCTTGTATTTGCTCTTGTGTTTTTCTTGTGCGTAATTTTCTTGTATGTTCCTTGTATTTTTCTTGTATATTTCTTGTATATTTCTTGTATTTTTCTTGTATTTTTTTTGTATTTTTCTTGTATTGTCTTGTAAGTTGCTTGTGTTTTTTTTTATTTTTTTTTGTAATTTTCTTGTATTTTTCTTGCACTTTGTTCGGCTGGCTTTTCTGCGCTCGTATTTTTCTTGCATTCCCCGTTTGTATTTTTTTTGTATTTCTTCTTGTATTTATTTAGTTTTACTAAAACCCAATACTTCTGGCACCACGCCCGTCACAACCCTAAACCCTAAAGCGGGTTTTGGTTCAAGGTGTTAGGGGCTTGCAGGTTCAGGGCTTAGGGCTTGCATTCTAAGCTCTCCAACCTCCTGGCCCCCAAATCCCTTTTAGGGTTTAGGGTTTAGGGTTTAGGGTTTAGGGTTTAGGGTTTAGGGTTCAGGGTCACCTACCAAAAAACTGAGGGTTTACAGGGCTGAGTGTGCAGAATTTTGGCCTCTAACAGTTGGAACCCCACAGTCCAAAATCCTAAGCCCCAAACCCCAAACCCCACACCCTAAACCCCAAACCCTAAACCCTAAACCCTAAACCTTAATCCCTAAACCCTAAACCCTAAACCCTAACCCCTAACCCCTAAACCCTAACCTGTTATATCCTCAAGCAAGGGCTCTTGGGGTCTCCGCGCCACCCCCGACGTAGGCTTCAAGGGCTACATCGACGACGGCAAGGCAGGGGGGGGGGGGGGGCCGAGCAGGGTCTAGGGGTTAGGGTTTAGGGTTTAGGCTTTAGGGTTTAGGGTTATAGGGTTACAGGCTTACAGGCTTAGAGGGTTAGAGGGTTTAGGCTTTACGGGTTAGGGTATATACGTTTCGGAGGGTTCTAGGACCCACAGTCGGCTTTCATTCTTTTTCTTTGGCTTTAGGTTCCCTTTTTGTTCCTGGGCTACTCTTGGGTATGTTGCCTAAACCCTCTAATCCCTAAACCCCTAAACCCTAATCTATAACTCCCCAAACCAACACCCAAGCCCTAAATTCCCAAACCCCTACGCCCCTAAACCCCTAAACCCCTAAACCCCGAAACCGCGAAACCCTGAAACCCCTAAACCCCCAAACCCCTAAACCCCTAAATCCCTAAACCCTAAATCCCTAAACGCCTAAACCCCTGAACCTTTGAACCCCACAACCCCTAAACCCTATACTCTATTCCCCTATTCCCTAAACCCTAAACCCTAGACCCTACAACGCCCTGAAGGTGCCCCAGGCCAACGTGGAGCGAGCCCGCAAGATCCAGAAGGATATGGGCGACGACTTCAGCCAGGTGCGGGTTTAGGGTTTGGGGTTTAGGGGTTTACGGTTTAAGGTTTAGGGTTCAGGCTATACGGTTTAGGGTGTAGAGTTTAGGGTTTAGGGTTCAGGGTAACGGTTAGTGAGGCTTTTGTCTGGGACGCCCCAAGGGTTCTTTGGGGATTGAGCGTAGGGGTTTGCGGGTTGTTAGAGTTTTTTTAGGGTTTTGGGGTTTGCTGTTTTAGGGTGTGACGGGTTGTGGGTTCAGAGTTTTGGGTTTAGGGTGCCAGGTGATGTTTTGTCTAGCGCACGCTGTCGTAAACAGGTTCCCAAGCCGCCGCAGAATACGAAGGGAGGGTTTTCGGGTTCAGGCTTTTCTTCATGGGGTTTGTCGAATTTTACGGTTTTGGGTTGGGATGTTCCCGCCTATACTAGCAGTCCTTTATAGGGATTATAATAGGGGGGGGGGGTACTATTATCCCTAATTATTCAGGACTGGTAGTATAAGGGGGAACATCCCAAGTTTTAGGGTTTAGGCTTTGCTTCATGGGGCTTATCTGGAGCCAGCGCCCCCCCTTCAAGGTTCCCCTTAACATACTCCTAGTATAGCCCCCTTATCTTTTTTAAAGGGATCCTCAAAAAGGGGCCCCAAAACTTAAGGGTACAACCTTAAGGGTTCGAGGTAGAACCCCTAGATCACGCGCAACTTTGTGCCGGAACTGTGGAGAGTCAGACCTCTCCATTGAAGCAGCTAGTGAGAACCAGTCCGATCCCGGCCGGGTGTCGGGTTTAGGGTTTAGGGTTTAGGGTTTAGGGTTTAGGGTTTAGGGTTTAGGGTTTAGGGTTTCGGGTTTAGGGCTTAGGGTTTAGGGTTTAGGGTTGAGGGTTTAGGGTTTAGGGTTTAGGGTGTAGGGTTTAGGGTTTAGGGTTTCGGGCTCGACGGAACCTTGCCGCATCGCGCTGTGGATAGACTACTTCACGAGCTGGTTACTAGGGCAAAGCCTGAGTACCCTAAATTACTCTAAGCAACCCTAGACCCTTCCCTAGATGGCAGTTCCTTTTCTGGCTAAGCACCGAAAAGCCATGCTCATGCGGTTGGGGGGTTTTCCCCTTCCGCATTAAATGTTTAGGGTTCGGGGTTTAGGGTCTATAGTCCTAAACCTCAAATCCAGTATCTCCTGCAAGTGGACCCTCCGGGTAAGGGCGGTGTTGTCGGTGGGTTGGGGGGCGCTGAACCCTGCTCAGCTCCATCTCTCAAGAATTCATCTCGACAAACAAAACACAACCCCAGGACTTAAGCCCATCACCCAAAGCCCTAGGCCCACAAACTACCAGGGTTTAGGGTTTAGGGTTTAGCGTGTAGGGTTTTCCGTTTCCGGGCTCAGGCAACATCCCACCTCTAAACCTTAGCCCTAAGCACCTTCTCGGGAAGGCTGGTATGTCCAAGAAATCCTCGGCCGCTGCTGGTCTCTGCGTGGCAGGGCTCAAGAAAGAAGAGCCGAAGCCCTGAGCCCTTATTTGCCCAAAGACCTAAGCCCTAAACCCAAAGCCCTAAACCCAAAGCCAAAGCCCTAAACCCTAAACCCTAAACCCTAAACCCTAAACCCTAAACCCTAAACCCTAAACCCTAAACCCTAAACCCTAAACCCTAAACCCTAAACCTAAACCCTAAACCCCGCATTGCTCGCAGAAGGCAATGCGCTTTGGGGTGAATGGCGTAGGAAGATGCTGCCATCTCAGGGTTCAGGGTCTACGGTCTAGGGTTTGGGGTTTAGGGTTTAGGGTTTGGGGTTTAGGGTTTAGGGTTCAGGGTTTAGGGTTTGGGGTTTAGGGTTTGGGGTTTAGGGTTTAGGGTTTGGGGTGGATTGAGGGTTTATAAGGTCTGCTGGGCTTAGGGTTTTTCAAGGTTTGTAGGATCTGCAATTGGTTTCACAGCTTTGTGTTGGGCTTAGTGTTTATAGAGGGTTTAGGGTTCACAGGGTTCAGGTGACCTTGAGCCTACAACTCTTACAAGGTTCTTCAGGGAGGGGCTTCCAGGGGGGTAAGCACCCTTAGGGAAGCTTGGGGAGCCACAGGCAGTAGTAGGCAGTATTAGGAACCTTGGGGTTCTATGCCCCACCTAAACCCTAAACCCTAAACCCTAAACCCTAAACCCTAAACCCTAAACCCTAAACCCTAAACCCTAAACCCTAAACCCCAAACCCTATACAACTCCCAAAGCCGAGGTATGGATCATCAACATCATCATGTACTATGATGTGGTGGTCCAGGTCGAGCCAAAGCGCAATGCCCTGCGTGACCTGTCCCAAACCCGACCCCCTCCTCTCAGGGTTCAGGGTTTAGGGTTTGGGGGTTGACAGTAGGGTTTAGGGGTTAGGGTTTTGGGTTTAGGTTTTAGGGTTTAGGGTTCGGGTTTAGGGTCTGTAGGGCTTGTTAACAACTCTGAGCTCTGCACCCCAAAGCCCTTAACCCAAGCCTTCCCCGCCTTCCCTGTCCCTAGCCCCTACACCCATCCAACCCCCCCAAAACCCTGTAGCCCTAAACACTTAAAACCCCGGCAAACCACTCAAGAAACTGAAGCCCCAACAGCCCTATAGCCCTAAACCCTGAATCCCTAAATCCTTAGTTTCCTAAATCCCCAAGCCGAAGCGATCCGCATCAAGAGCCCCAATCCCGCCACAACCTTTGCATCCAAACTCCGCCAATTTAGGGTTTAGGGTTTAGGGTTTAGGGTTCAGGGTTTAGGGTTTAGGGTTCAGGGTTTAGGGTTCAGGGTTTAGGGTATAGGAACCTAACCTACACAATTCCCTCATTCCTCATCAGCTGCTCGTTCTTAGTAGGGGATATGAGAGAACTAGGTACCAGACATCCCCTTGAAGAAGCCGCAAAGGGGGGGGATATCAGGTACAGTTCTCCATTGCCTACTAAGAGAACCCGTAGGATTACACCCTAGAAATCCTAAGCCCTAAACCCTAAACCCTAAACCCTTAACCCTTAACCCTCAACCCTTAACGCTTACCCCTAAGCCCTAAGCCAGCTACTAACGGCATGCCTCCAACAAGGCGAGGCGACCGAGACGCTGAACGCCGCCAACACGAAGCTGGCCGAGGCCTTCCCCCTAAACCCTAAACCCCAAACCCTGGTTTAGGGTCTAGGGTTTAGCGTTCAGGGTTTAGGGTTTAGGGTTAGGGTAACCCGAAACCCTAAACCTTAAACCCTAAACACCTAGGGTTCAGGGTTAGGATTTGGGGTCCCTAAACCCTAAACCCTAAACCCTAAACCCTAAACCCTAAACCCTAAACCCTAAACCCTAAACCCTAAACCCTAAACCCTAAACCCTAAACCCTACACCCCAAACCCAAAACCCTAAACCCCAAGCCCCAAACCCCACACCCTAAGCCCAGACCCGAAGGTGAAAGAGCTCGTGCGCACCCTGGAGTCCAACCTTGCAGCTCTGACCCCCGGCACCAGATTGGGGCTTTTGGGGCTCTTTGGGTTTAGGGTTTAGGGTTTAGGGTTTAGGGTTTAGGGTATGGGGGTTGGGGGTTAGGGGTTTTGGCCGTTTAGGGCTTTTAGGGATCTTGGGTTTTTTTGGGTTTTAGGGCTTTATGGCTTTCGGATTTAGGGCCTTGGGGCTTGATGGTTTAGGGCTCTGGGGTTTAGGGTTTAGGGTTTGTTGTGGGAACCCCAAGCCATGCACCTAAAGCCCAGAACAACAGCACGATATCCTAGCTTAGCTCTAAACCCTAAACCCTAAACCCTAAACCCTAACCCCGAACCCCTAAACCCTAAACCCTAAACCCCAAACCCTAAACCCTAAACCCCCAACGGCCCCGAGGATGAAGGAGTTCGACAAGGCCATGGCCGAGAAGAACGCCCTCATGGCGGATGCCGAGAAGTGCCTTTTTGAGTTCAGGGTTTAGGGTTTAGCATTTAGGGTTTAGGTTTTGGGTTCAGGGTTTAGGGTTTAGGGTAATTGGGACCCCCAACATAGATCCCCTAATAGTAGGATCCCGTAAAAAAGAGGACCCCAATAAGGTACGCCTACTTTCGCAACCCCCCACCTAGGGAGCCAGAGACTTTGAGAATCCTGGAACACCCCTTTGAAGCTTAAGGTTTTAGGGTGCAGGGTTTAGGGTTCAAGCTCGGGAAAAGAACCTATGTCCGAAGTTCCAGTGATGCTTTATGTGTGCATGCATGCGTGCACGTTGGCCGGTAGGGGTGTATGCGTGCCCCCGTCTTCCCGCCCTAAGCCCGCGGGATGCGCGACATGCCAAGCCCACCATCCCCTTGTGTCCAAGGGACGTCCAAAGCTTGCCACAAACCCCCAAGCCACTAAAAGCCCTAAACTCTCCCCCTCCCTCCCCCTCCCAAAACCCTAAACCCTAAACCCTAAACCCTAAACCCTAAACCCTAAACCCTAAACCCTAAACCCTAAACCCTAAACCCTAAACCCTAAACCCTAAACCCTAAACCGTGGCTCGCAATTTGAAACCCCCACTGCCTTGAGCCTAAAGCCCTAAGTACTCGTAAAAAGGTGCCAGAACAAGTTGGACATGGCACAGCGTCTGGGCCTCGGGCGTTTAGGAGGACATAGGAGCGGCTTTAGGCCTTTCCCGGCCTGTGGCCCTAAACCCTAAACCCTAAACCCTAAACCCTAAACCCTAAACCCTAAACCCTAAACCCTAAACCCTAAACCCTAAACCCTAAACCCTAAACCCTAAACCCTAAACCCTAAACCCTAAACCCTAAACCCTAAACCCTAAACCCTAAACCCTAAACCTAAACCCTAAACCCTAAACCCTAAACCCTAAACCCTAACCCTAAACCCTAAACCCTAAACCCTAAACCCTAAACCAACTGCCGGTTTCCGACAAGCCTGACGGGGCTTCTCGAAAGTAGCGGGCCCCTATTTTTGACCAGACCAAATAGCAGGACCCCCCCTTACATAAGGACCCCAATAAGGTACCCCAGTTCCGGAAAGCCCCCTTATGTAAGCCCTTCAACTGAATGCCTTCTCCACCCTAAACCTTAAACCCCAAAGGACGGTCAAGGTTTAGGTTTAGGGTTCAGTTTGAGATCCTACAATAAGTAGCTTCTCTAGATCACATAGCCAAGAAAGCCCTCAACTGGCATTTCCAGTTTAATATAACAGAAGCATGGGTTAGAACAAAATCCAAAAGCCAACTCTCATCGAGTCGCACATCCGAAAGAGACAGAACCCTAACCCTAAACCCTACTCTCTAAACGCAGCTCGAGACCCTGGCCTGAAAATAGGCCCTCTAACCTCAAACCCTCCGAAACCCCTAAACCCTAAATGTTAAGCCCCAAACCCTCAACCCTAAACCCCTAGACCTCAACCCCTAAACCCAAACCCCCAACCCTAAACCCTAGACCCCACACCTTAAACCCTGCTCTCCACCTCCCAGGCCTGGTGGGCGCGCTTGCAGCCAACGGAGTTATTTGGGAGCAAACTGTGGAGAACGCGGGCCAGGACGTGAGGGGGGTTAGTGTTTAGGGCTTTGGGTTCGGTCCTGTTGTCTTAGGGCTGGTGAAGTCACTGTCTGAGGGCAGCTCGGGTTTAGGGTCTGTGGGCTTTGGGTGGAGGTCCCCAGTTTTTCATCAAATCAATGAAAACTGGACCTCATATGTCCTCTTTTGTTACATTCGTAAGATCGTCCCCATAGGAGCTGATCTACATCCCCGGCGACACGTTGGTCGCCTGCTCCTTCGCCTCCTATGTCGGCGTGTTCACCCGCCAGTGTCCTGGACCCTAAACCCTGAACCTTACACCCCAAACACGAAACCCCAAACCCTAAACCCCAAACCTTAAACCCCAAATCCTAAACCTTATCCCTGAAGCCTGAACCCCCTTAGACTGGAGGGGGTCGACTTGGAAAGGTGTCAATTTCTATGTCACCCAAAGCTACTTTAGCGGAGGCCAAGACCCCTCACCTATACCTCCTCTTGGTCATTTACCTACCTGTTGGAGGAACATTCTTTGTGGGGAATTAGCTCTAGGATGCCCAGTAGTACCCTTATTCCCTTTTTTAGGGGGTTTAGGTTCCCTCATAAACCCTTTTAAGCAAAAAAGGGCACCCCTTTTTAAGCCTTGGTTACTGGGCAGCCAAGAGCTTGTGAACCCTAGAAACCCTAAACCCTAATCCCCTAAAGACCCACGAAATGTAAGCCTTAGCCTCCAGGTAGGGTTCAGGCTTCTTGCTTACCGACTTCTAGGATGCATGCTTTAGGGTTTAGGGTTTAGGGATTAGGGTTTAGGGTTTAGGGTTTAGGGTTTAGGGTTTAGGGTTTAGGGTTTAGGGTTTAGGGTTTAGGGTTTAGGGCTTAGGGCTTAGGGCTTAGGGTTTAGGGTTTGGAGTTGACGATTTCGGGTTTAGGGTTTAGGGTTGGGGTTGTAGCATCTGGTGCCGGAGCTCAGGTACCGCGAGGAGACGGTGGATGCCTTCGTGCAGTACCTCACGAAGAAGGGCGTGCCTCTAGGCCGGTGGAGCCGAGTTTGCAGCGCTAAGCCCTAAATTCTAAACTCTGAACCCTAAACCCTAAAACCCCAAGCCCTTAGCCCCAAACCTCAAACCCTAAAACCCAAACCCTATGAACCCTAAACCTTTGCTTAAAAACAACCCGCAAGCCCTAAGCCCTCCCAAAACCCAAAACCCAAAACCCTAAACCCCAAACCCCAAACCCTAAACCCTAAACCCTAAACCCTAAACCCTAAACCCTCGCAGGACCCAAGCCCGACCCGCTGGCCGTGCTGGCCTCGGATGCAGAGATGGCTTCTTGGGCAGGCCCCTTTGGGTTGTTTAGGGTTTAGGGTTTAGGGTTTAGGGTTTGGGGTTTAGGGTTTAGGGTTTAGGGTTTAGGGTTTAGGGCTATGGCCCCTTTGCTTGGCTTTCTTCTGGCTGGCTCTTAGGACTTGAGCCTTTTGGGTTTTGTAGAAAATTACAATAAGAAGCCTAACAGTTTAACTTCTAGGAGGGTTCAGAAGTCGGCGCAGTTTGGGTTCAGAGATTTCCGGGCTTACGTAGTCTTGGGGTTTAGGGTGTGGGTTGAGGGTGTAGGGCTTTGGGGATTAGGCTCTTCAGGGTTTAGGGTTTAAGGTTTAGGGTTTAGGGTTTAGGGTTTAGGGGTTAGGGGTTTGAGGGCTTGGAGTTGAGTTTAGGGCTGGTCGCATCGGGTCCTGCGACGTTGGTCGCGGCTTGCTGGGTCATGAAGTCTGAAATTCTGTTGCTCTGATAAGGAGAGCTTCGGGTTTTCGGGTTCAGGGTTTAGAGTTTAGGGTTTAGGGTTTAGGGCTACAACATGTACTATACAACCCTGGTCTGGTAACTTACTCCAGCTCTCTTCGCAAGCAACACGGCTTGCAGTTTGTATCATGATCCTACGCCTTAAAAGGCCCTATGACCCAACAGCCCTAAACCTTCACAAACCCCGAAAAGCCCCAAAGCCCTGAAACTCCAATCCCTTCAATTCAGGCAGAAAACCCCTAAACCCTAAACCCTAAACGCAAACTCAATCCTAAACCCTAACCCTGAACCCGGAACCCTAAACCCTAAACCCTAAACCCTAAACCCTAAACCCTAAACCCTAAACCCTAAACCCTAAACCCTAAACCGCCAGGCCAGGGCCTTCCATCCGATCGCGTCAGCTGCGAGAACGGCGCCATCCTCTGCAACTCCCAGCGCTGGAGCCCTTCGGCTGCAAGCCTTAGAAGCCCGGTTTAGGGTTTAGGGTTTAGGGTTTAGGGTTTGGGGTTCAGGGTTGTTTCAGAAGCCGCTCAAAGCAACTCACAGCTTCAAAGCAGGTTTTGAAATCAGCTAGCAGCTCACATCGATATCCCCGCAGAAGAAGCTTCCGGCAGTGGTGCCCCTTTCCAGGGCCCTAACCCTAAACCTTGTAGTTCTTATGTGCTCTAAGCCCCAAGCCCTAATAGCCTAAGCCCTGAGCCCAAAGACCTAAACCCTAAACCCTAAGCCCTAAGCCCTAAACCCTAAGCCCTAAACCCTAAGCCCTAAACCCTAAACCCTAAACCCTAAACCCTAAACCCTAAACCCTAAACCCTAAACCCTAAACCTAAACTCGAAACCCTAAACCCTAGCCCTAAACCCTAAACCCTAATTCCTAAGCCCTAAACCCAAAACTGAAAACTTCCCTCTGCGTCCCCTGCCAAGGCTTGATCATTGATCCGCAGCTGCAGGGAATTGCAGCTGAGCTTGCAGTAGGGTTTAGGGTTTAGGGCCTGTTTAGGGTTTAAGGTTTAGGGTTTAGGGTCGATACGTGGATGCGTAGCTACTAAACCCTGACATTTTCTTCCGCACGAGGGTTTAGGGTTTAGGGTTAGGCAGTAGTTCTACCCGTTCATACCAGCTTGAGAAGTGTAGTTCGGTTTGCCCTTTGGGAAAATTGCCATTTTCCTGTAGTGGGCGAAGAGTCTAAGAGGAGCATATTGCAGTTGAGGTTCCAACATCGAAATCGTTAAAAGCTCTAGAGAAAATAACAAGCGACGCGAACGCCATAGAATGTTTATGGTCTGTGTTGAACTGGCGTTCAGCAGATAATGATTTGCCATAGGAATGTTGCACTGTGTTTGCGACTCAATGGTGTGTCTTCTTCCAGCGCCCTAAGCCCTAAGCCCCGTGCCCACGTATACCAAGAGAGGGCGTACAAGTTTCTGGATCGGGTTGCTTTGCGCTTGCTTCCGTATCCTTTCTGTGTTCCTAGTGCGAGGTCACTCCTGAACGATAATATTTGGAGGCACGTTGCATGACCTTGAGGCGGTAGTGGGTCATGGACGGGTCGAGAAAAAAAGGTTGAAGGTTCAGGGTTCAGGGTTCAGGGTTTAGGGTTTAGGGTTTAGGGAGGTGTAAATTCTCACTTTGAATCAGGTGGCGGGGGCGGCGGGCATACGACCTGCTCACGGGCCTCGGGTTTTTAGCAGCCCTTCAAGGGGTGGGGCCTCTTCTGTGCTACAGATCGACGCACATGTTGACATGTTGCATGCCGGTGCGATGCCTCCACCCTGGCGGATGCGACTGGATCGCACCACCATGCGTCAGCTGGATGTTTTTGTCACGGGGGTCAATAGGACGACCGTGGACGAAGGTTAAGGGCTGCAAACGCTACAAGTATGTGCAGCAGGCCAACCGCCTGGCGCGCAGGATGTGCTACCTTTTCAAGTACGTTCACGCCAAAAAGGTTTGCTGTGTCATGGAGCAACCGTCCAGCAGCCTGCTGCCCATGGACAAGCCTTTCCGACAGCTGATGCAGAAATGTTCATGCGCAGATGTCAGAGAAGCTAAGCTGCGTGGACATTAATCTTCTTGTGCCACGTTTCATACATGGGGCACGTGTGTCCATGTGTGTCTGCGCATCATATCTTTACATGAACCCCACAAGCCTAAAAGCGAAGCTCCAGCCCTAAACACAAGACCCCTAATTTAGACAAACCCTAAGCCCCTTGACATCTAATAACTCTTCTGGTTTGCTATTAAGCAAGGAACTTAAACTAACTTACCATAATGTGGCTAGAATTTAAGTACTTTTGGTTCGTTACGCTAAACCCGAAACCATAAACCCTAAACCCTAAGCCCTGAAGCCTAAACAGCGCTAAACCCAAGAACCGCAAAACCAACACTGACACAAGCCCAAAAGTGAGGCTCCAGTCCTAACAGTGAACCCCCCCATTTCCTAGGTAGGATAAGGGGGACCCTTAGAAGGGAACCCCTTCTTAACCCTCTTCTGGCTCTCTTAAACTCTTAAACAGGGACCTTATTCAGAGGGTCTATATTCCCAAGGGTCCCCCTAATCCTATCCCCTACCATTGAACCAGACCCCAAGCCCCTTAACCTCACACACTCGTCTGGTTTGCGGTTAAGGAGCTTAAATCAACTTACCATAATATGGCTAGTTTGTGAATTTATAGTTTCGTTACCCGCAGCACGCCAGGTTTGCCGTCAGCTACGGCTGTAACTTGGGGGGGGGAGGGGGGGTGAGGTGGGGGGGGGGGGTGGGGGCTGGGGGGGGGGTTAAGAACGTCATTCATATTGCATGCATGCCCAAAACACTGGTATTTGCAGCGTTTTCGTCTCTTTGTACAACATACTGCACAAGGATCTGGAACAAGAAAATCTGTCACAAGCGTCCAGCCTGTCGCGACCATGCCCAAAACACGTCCCACAAAAACCGTGAAAGTCCTGAAATTTGGCAAATGCGTTTTCGGAAATGCAAGCCTCCAAAAGACACAGCTGCAGAGGTTGTCTTGGCAGAAGCGCATGAAAACATCGCAAATAACAGTGTTTACCGCGCGCGCGCACACACATCAGGCAGCCAGCCATGTAAATGCTGCCTGACGGCAGACGTGGCGTCAAACAACACCAGGACTTGCTTAAAAATCAGCAAAAACCCATAGCGGCAGCGCAACGCTAAAAAAACATCCAAGAAAATTGACCATCATGAGGTGCCTCCCGTCCCACAAAAACCTATGAAAAACAATGCGCGACGGCAAACCTCACGTGCTGTGCGTTTCGTTACTCTAAACCCGAAACCCTAAGCCCTAAACCCTAAACCCTGAACCCCAAACCCTAAACCCTAAACACTCTTTCTTGGGAGTGCCCAGGTCTGGATCAAGAACCGCGAGTCGGAGAATGGCCTGCAGGTGGGCTTATGGTTCAGGGAGGCGCTTGCGGGGATTTAGGGTTTAGCGTTTAGGGTTTAAAATTCGGGCTTTAGGGTTTAGGGTTAGAGGAGTGTCGAGATTTCGGGTTTAGGGTCTACAGGACTTAGGGTTCAGCATTTAGGGTTGAGGGGATTGAGAGGATTTAGGGGACATATAGGGGATTTCGGGGATTGTCGGGGGGGATGTAGGGGATGTTCTGGATTTAGGGGATTTAGCGAAAATGCTTGTGTGCCACGAATTATGGCTTCAGGTGACCCGCATGGGCCACGCAAAGATGCTGAACACCTTCGAGGCACTTTTCCCTGAGCTCTTCTAGGGTTTAGGGTTTAGGGTTTAGGGTTTAGGGCCTGTAAGAACCACTCAAACAACTGAAGAGCGAAGCCGAGAGATTGATCAACTAACTCATTCAGACTCTAAGCCAGAAGTCCTAAGCTCTAAATCTCAGAAAACATCGAGGGCCGGGGCAGGGGCGGGGATGGGCGTTCTGGGGGTGTAAGGGGTAGGGGTTTAGGGTGTAGGTCGTGTTGAAGGCTATATTAGGGCCCCTTCTCGGGAAGCCATCATTACGATCCCAAAAACCCCCAAATCTACTTTATCTGTAGGTCACGTATACAAGAATCCTGCGAGGCGGCTGACAAATAGTCGCAAGCTACAAAAGGAAGTAGGCTTCAGGAACCCTGAGCCTAAACCCTAAACCCTATAAAATCTCTAAACCCTGAAGGCCCTACTGAAAACACAACCCACCCCCGAGCCTGATCTCCTGAACCCAATGCCCTCACCCTACACTGGGAGTAGGGCCTCCTAGTCGAGTTCATGGGCAGTTGTAGGTAGGGGAAGAGGGTTCAGGTGGTTTATGAGGTTTAGGCGGTTTAGGGGTGGGTAGTTCTTGGCTAACCTAAAGAATGATACAAGTTAACGATATACAGGCCTTACTTACAACTTGAAGATTAAGTACGCATGAACCGCCAGGGTTTTGCTCGACGGACAGGTTTAGGGTTTAGGGTTTAGGGGTTTAGGGGCAGAGGCAAAACCCTCCCCTCTCCAGGTGTCCTTGGATCAAGGAAAGCCGGTGCTGATCGAGAACATGGGCGAAGGCTCGCCTACCCAAAGCAGGTTTAGGGTTTAGGGTCTAGGGTTTCGGGATAGAAATCTAAATTCGTAACCCCGAAGCCTTCAAAATCCTAACATCCCAGCCGCTAAGCTTTTAAACCCAGGGGCCCAAAACTCAAAGTTCGAAATCCCCCCAAGCCCGTCACGCGAACAATGCCCTACCCCAACATAAGGCCCGAGTAGTAAGGGAGTTTTGGGTTTGGGTTTTAGGGCTTTGGGGTTTAACAATGGGACCCTTATCATTTGTGGGGGGTGTGGCTTAGCCCCCAGACCGCACAAAACAAAAGCCCCAAAGCCCCAGAAATCCCCTAACGACTGAAGACTCAGACCCAAAAAGCCGCGGACGCCTTGAAACAGTTCGATAAATAAGCTCCTTCTGTTAGGTTGGGTGGGGGTTTATACTCCCCGAAACCCTAAACCCTATACCCTAAACCCTATACAAACCCTTCTCAGCCCTAGCCCAGCCGCCCCCAAGATGAGCAACGAAGAACGCGGGGACACCTCGCAACACAAGCCCAGAGAAGGGGAGATCAGAGGAAACGAGGAGGAAAAACCGAGGCGGAAAAGAGAACTGCCAAGAGCGGGTTTAGGGTTTAGGGTTTAGGGTTTAGGGTTTAGGGTTTAGGGTTTAGGGTTTAGGGTTTAGGGTTTAGGGTTTAGGGTTCCCAGTGCCAGACCCACGTGATCCAGCGTGCTACACCCGCCCGAACGCCAACGAACAAGGGCGACGGCATGACGGCATCAACATTTATTCCAAGAAACGCTACGAGAGCAGCCGAATTTTTCAGGATTTAGGGTTTAGGGTTTAGGGTTTAGGGTTTAGGGTTTAGGGTTTAGGGTTTAGGGTTTCAGGCTGGGGTTTAAGGTTCCGGGTTTGGGGGTGAGGGGACTGTGAGTTTCGTAGTTCATGGTTTATCAGGTTGCTATTCGGGGGAGGCGGGAGTTGAATTCAGGGCCCAAACCCAAAGACAGCCCTAAACCTTTTAAGCCCTAAGCCGTTTGAACTCTAAACCCTAAACCCCAAACCCTAAACCCCAAACCCTAAACCCTAACACCCTAAGTAAATCCTACAACCCTAAGAGGGCTAAACTCTCAGGATAGAAGTGCCAGTCCCAGAGTGTGGGGGAGATAGCCCTACTTAGCCAATAGCTGAACCCCCAAACGCTAGCCCCTACACCCTAAACTTCTTGGGTTTCCTTACTTCATAGGAAAAAAGTTTAAGCTTAACCTGATTTCCCTTTTTGGGTTTCCTTACTTCATAGGAAAAAAGTTTAAGTTTAACCTGCTTTCCCTTGGTTATTGGCGAAGCAAGTAATTAGGCCAAAAAGGGGCCCCGCAGGCAAGGGGTGCAGGTTTGGGCCCCATAGAAGCCCTATCTAAAAGCACTGGCTTTCGTTTTGCACCCTAAACCCTAAACCCTAAACCCGAAACCCGAAACCCTAAGCCCTAAACCCTCAACCCTCAACCCTCAACCCTAGCAGAGTGCAGAGTCCCACATTCGTCGTGAAGTGTGCCTACGCACGGTGTGGGCGGGGGTCTCAGGGCTCCACATCCCTAAGCCCTAAACCCCACACCCCTAAACCCTAAACCCTAAACCCTACACCTTAAACCCCAAACACCAAACCCCTAACCCCCAAGCCCCTAACCTCAGGTATCGATGCCGTGATCATGCCAGTGGTGTCCCGAAACACCATCAAGCGCGGCAACAAGAAGCTCGTGAAGCTCGGAGTCTTGGCAGCCCAGTGGTACCCTTTTTTTCAACTTTTTTTGGGGTTCAAGGTTCCCTTATCAAGGAACCAAACCCCAAGAAACGGGTGCCCATATTCTAAACCCTAAACCCTCAACCCTCAACCCTAAACCCTAAACCCTAAACCCTAAACCCTAAACCCTAAACCCTAAACCCTAAACCCTTCTTTCGATTATGGTTGCTGGGCTACCAAGGAGACAAGGAGATCACGCTTAGCGTCGCTGGCCGAGCACTGCAGGGGGATCTCCCTTGGGGTTTTGGGGGGTTTGGGGGGTGTTTGAGGTTCGGGGCAGAGGATTCACGGGTTCCCCCAAGGCCCCTGTCCCCCTGAAAGGTTTAGGGTTTAGGGTTTAGGGTTTAGGGTTTAGGGTTTAGGGTTTAGGGTTTAGGGTTTAGGGTTTAGGGTTTAGGGTTTAGGGCTCTTTTACGGGAAGTTCAGCTTGAATGTGTTTTACATAGGGGGTCTCGGATGTCTCGTGTGGTGTCCTTGTTGTGCTCATCTCCTCGTGGTAGTCGTGGTAGGAGTACGTGTGCATATAAACTACGTACCGAAAATGCACAGTCTGATGAAGGCCCTCTTGCCATGGATTGTCCATCATCCCTCCATGCTGTATTCTTCTCGCCAAGAAGTAGAACGTACTGTACATGGGAGAGTCTCTAAACCCTAAACCCCAAACCCTAAACCCTACATGAAAGCCTCCGGGTTCTCACAGGATCACCAAACCTGGGGACCATAAGTCAGAGAACCTCCCCCATGCATGCAAACCCTAAAGCCCCGAAGCCCAAAGTCCCAAACAAACCTTAAATCCTAAATCCCAACCCCTAAACCCTAGACCCTGCACCCTAAACCCTAAACCCTAACCCTAAACCCTACACCCTAAACCCTAAACCCTGAACCCTGAACCCGAAACCCTAAACCCTAAACCCTAAACCCTAAACGCTAGGACCCTACACCCTAAACCCTAAACCCTAAACCCTAAACCCTAAACCCTAAACCCTAAACCCTAAACCCTAAACCCTAAACCCTAAACCCTAAACCCTAACCCTAAACCCTACATCCTAAACCCTAAACCCTGAACCCTGAACCCGAAACCCTAAACCCGAAACCCTAAACCCTAAACGCTAGATCTTAAACCCTGTCCGGCGACCAAGAACAACTTCAAGCTCTTCATGCAGACGAAGCTGTCGAACCCGCACTACCCTCCCGAGATCCAGGCATCGTGGGCCAGGGTTTATTAATTTGTAAGTAGTAGCAGTAAGTAGGCGCAAGCAGTCGCAAGTAGTAAACAGCAAGCAGTATTTAGTTATTTAGTAGCAGTCGTCGTCGTAGTTGTAGTAGTAGTAGTCGTAGTAATCGTCGTCGTCGTCGTCGTCGTCGTCGTCGTCGTCGTCGTCGTCGTCGTCGTCGTCGTCGTTGTAGGTGCTGCTGCTAATGGCTTAGGATTAGTTGTATGACTAGTCGTAGTTATAGTGGTCGTGGTCGTGGTCGTGGACTACTACCAATACTCAACGTCGTCACCGAAAGACGAGCAATCAACCGCTAAACCTTTGTCATAGTTGGGTAACATTTTCACATTTTTAAGGCTACTCAATCCCAATAAGGAATATAAATTTACATGGTTTTTAAGGGCACTTAAACCCAATAAGGAAAATAAAGTTATCTTTTTTCCTATCCCAACCATGAACTAGAAACCTCCTGCAGGCCGAATGTACCATCATCAACTTCACGGTCACCGAGGATGGCACCCCGGCCTTCAAAGCTTCGGGGACCCTAAACCCTAAACCCTAAACCCTAAACCCTAAACCCTAATGAGCACTAATGAGCACCATTGAGGTTTTTGTGTCTGTTGGAAGTCCTTGGTGGAAACTTTGGGGCCGAAAGGGTTGAGGTCTGAGGGCATAGGGCCTGCGGCTTAAGCAATCTGTGAGAAACCCAAAGAGCCCAAAACACATTAAATAAGGAATATACCTTAAGTCATATTAAGGTTCTCTGTATAGTTTAAGGTCTATTCCTTAATCTAAAGGGTATTGGGCTCTGTAATAATGATATCGACCAGGCTCCCATATCTCCCGCCTCCAAGGTCTCGAGGATCAGCTGCTGTTCTTGGTGGTGAAGCTCGAGAGGCTGCTGCAGCCCTAAACCCTAAACCCTAAACCCTAAACCCTAAACCCTAGAAAATGACCTCCAAAAGCCTGCAAGCCTGTGCGTATGGGACTTCAGTCCCTAAACCCTAGACCGCTATTAGCCCTAAACCTTCAACCCTGATCCTCAATTTCATGGCAGGCCTGACCTCGCCAAGAAGAAGTCAGAGCTCATCCAGCAGCAGAATGAGTTCAAGGCCGAAAGCTTTTTTGGGGCGGTAGGGTTTTAAGGTCCAGGGGTTTAGGGTTTAGGGTTTAGGGTTTAGGGTTTAGGGTTTAGGGTTTAGGGTTTAGGGTTTAGGTATTCCTTCGCTTTCATGGCAAGCATACCCCAGCCGCTCGACGCCAGGTGACCTTGGCGCACTTGGAGGCATTGCTCCTGGAGACTTTTCCTAGTCTACAAGCAGTTTTTTTTTTGGGTTGGGGTGAAGGTTCAATCCCGAAATTAGGGACACGCGGACGCGTTTAGGGTTTAGGGTTTAGGGTTTAGGGTTTAGGGTTTAGGGTTTAGGGTTTAGGGTTTAGGGTTTAGGGTTTAGGGTTTAGGGTTTAGGGTACCCTAGACCCCTTAACCCCAAAACCCTAAACCCTTTAACCCCAAAACCCTTAAACCGTACAGCCCCACAACCTATTTAGCTGGGAAGCCATGACAGCTAAGGAGAAGCTGGCCAACGCAGAAGGCGACATCCTGGACGTGCCTCGTCCAGGGCATTTAGGGTTTCGGAATCAAAGCCAAAACTCTAGACCCCAAACCCTAAGCCCCAAACCCCAAACCCCAAACCCCAAACCCTAAACCCCAAACCCCAAACCCCAAACCCCAAACCCTAAACCACCCAAAGCCCTAAACCCTAAACCGTCAGGGGGGCGCAACCCTGAACCCCAAGCTTCCACTTGCCAAGGACACAGAACTGATCCTGAGTCTTGAGGAGGCCAAGAAGAGCCTTTGGCTTCCTACTAGGGTTTAGTGTTTAGGGTTTAGGGTTTAGGGTTTCTACATGTTTAAGGGTACTTAAACCCAATAAGGAATATACATTTAAATGTTAATATTATCCCAACCATGAACTAGTATTTGCTTATAAGATCCGAACCCAAACACAACAACACTATTTTTCCTTATAAGGGGTCAATATAGGGACAATTTTGGGTTGTTCTTAAGCTTACGAGCCCTCCAATAATGGCAGATATTCTTCCTTATAAGGGCAATATGGGGGGTTACTATTTGGTTGTATATATTTTGTGGGTTCTCAGCACGCAGTAACTTGCGTTCTTGATCTCGACTTGGGTCTGTAGAAGGTTTGGGGTTTGGGGTTTGTACGGATTATAGGATTTCAGATGTCTAGAAGTACCTTTGTTCCCTTTCTAAGGTTAAGGAGCTCTTTTGAACCTAGTGAAACAGAAAGGGGCGGCCTTTTCTTTTTTCCTAGGTTGCTGGGGAACTTACTGTAGGAGGTCCTTAACGTACCCTTGGCTTGACTGGCCCGTGCAAAGATGTGTTTCAAGGCCTCTTGATGTTTTTGGCAGTACTTTCGGTTGAGCGGAGTACGGCCAGGAATTGGAAAACTCTCGTCTTGGCTGGCTCTTAGTAGGGAATGGGGGAATGAAGTACCCCACATAATCTCTTAAAGGGTATATACAAGGTACCCTACATCATCCTGCGAAATCCCGTCAAAGGGTATACACAAGGTACCCTATATCATCCCTTCAAGGGTATACACAAGGTACCCTATATCATCCCTTAAAGGGTATACACAAGGTACCCTATATAATCCCTTAAAGGGCATATATAAGGCCCTGATTCCCTCATTCCCTACTAAGAAGCGGGGGCTCGAGGGTTGGATTCGGACCAGGAACCCGGGGTTGAAGGCTTTGGGTTTCGGGCTTAGGGGGCTTAGGGTTTAGGGTTTAGGGGTTAGGGTTTAGGGTTTAGGGTTTAGGGTTTAGGGTTTAGGGTGTATGGTTCAAGGTTTAGGGATTAGGGCTTCGGGTTTAGAGTGCCCAGAGGAACACAAAGGAGAGCCCTGAACACCCAGGGCCGGTTATTTGCTTTGGCTTTTTTTCGCTTAGGCTTAGGGTTTAGGGTTTAGGCTTTAGGGTTCAGGGTTCAGGGTTTAGGGTTCAGGGTTCAGGGGGTTTAGGGGGTTTAGGGGGTTTAGGGGGTTTAGGGGTTTAGGGTTTAGGGGGTTTAGGGGGTTTAGGGGGTTTAGGGTTTAGGGGGTTTAGGGTTTAGGGGGTTTAGGGTTTAGGGTTCGGGTTTTACGGTTTAATGTTGCGGGTTTAGGTTGTAAGGTTTTCAATGAAAGTTTGGCCTCCTTCGCTAAGAAGCGGGCTGTCAGCACCCTAAGCTATAAGGAGCTTCTTTAGGTGAACATCGGGGTCCTAAACCCTGAACCCCCGAACCCTACACCCTCAACCTTTAACCCTGAACGGCCCTATGCCTTGAACCCCACACCCTAAACCCCACCCCCTACGCCCTACACCCTACAAAACCTATACACCCTACAAACACTATACACACCATGAATCCTACAGGGTTGTCACGCAAATCCAGGTGCTGAGCTTAGGAGTAGAGCAGCACCTTAGAGGGTTTAGGATTGCGCCTTTTTTTTGGCAATCCAGGGCTTAGGATGAGTTGGGGTTTAGGGAGTAGGGTCGGGTTTAGGGTTTATAGGGTTTAGGGCTTGGGTTTTCGGGTTTAGAGCTTGCATGGGGTTTGAGGTTTAGGGCTTCGGCTTTAGGGTTTAAGGGGCTTTCGCCCGACGTCGCCCACATGCCTAAGGACCAGCGACGAGGTCAAGGAGAAGGTGGTAGTCGCGCAGGACCCTCAGTAGGCTCTCATTCCGTTTATTAGGGTTTAGGTTCCCTTACAAGCGGCCACCCATTTGATTCCTAGGTTACTCTGGAGTATAGGTTTCCCTAAACCCTTAAACCCTTAAACCCTTAAACCCTAAACCCTAAACCCTAAACCCTTAACCCTTAACCCTAAACCCTTAACCCATAACCCTTAACCCTTAACCCTTGACCCTTGACCCTTGACCCTTGACCCTAACCCTAGACCCTAAACCCGAAACCCTAAACCCTCTACCCTAAACCCTAAACCCTAAACCCTAAACCCTTGAGCCAGCCAGAGAGCCTGAACAGGGTCTATATTGTTGAGGGTTTATAGAGTTCAGGGGTGTTTTCGGGTTGAATGAGTGTAATGGGTTCACAGGGTTTGTAGGCTTTAGGGTTACCCTGTGGCAGCTGTTCTCCCAAAAGAAGCCTAAACCCTAAACCCTAAACCCTAATCCCCAGACCCCGAAGTCCAAAATCCCATAGGCCAAGTTCTCAACCGACCAAGTTCTACCAAGTCAAAAGCTGGAACAAGCTCCGCCCTCAACTCTGCTTGAGCCCTAAACCCTAAGCCCTAAACCCTAAACCCTAAACCCTAAACCCTAAACCCTAAACCCTAAACCCTCAACTCTACAAGCCCTAAATTCTAAACTGCCCCGCCTAAACACACAGGAGACGGAGCTCAAGATCAACGAGACCTCCGAGTTCTACCGGCCTACGGGTGCAGCGCGCGGGGTTTGGGTTTAGGGCCTCTCTTGTGGGGTTGAGAGGCCGTGCACTCAGGTATAACTGCAACTCGAAGTCTGAAGGGTTTAGGGTTTAGGGCTTAGGGTTTGGGGTTTAGGGTTTACCACCTCCAACGATCCCCATCCTTATCCCCTATAGCCATAGGCTCCAAAAACCCAAAAGCCCTAAGCCCTAAACCCCAAACCCTAAACCCTAAACCCTAAACCCTAAACCCTAAACCCTAAACCCTAAACCCTAAACCCTAGGTAGGCCCTGGGGATGGTTTCTTTGGGTTTTAGAGGATTCATAGTTGGAAACACTTTTCTCATTTAAGAGCCATCCTAAAACCCAAAGCCCTAAACCCTAAACCCCAACCCCAAGCCCAAACCCTAAGCAAACCAGAAACCCTAAGCCCCAAAAGCCCTGCACCCCAAAAGTCCAAAGCCCTAAACCCTAAAGTCCAAAAAGCCCTGAATCCCAAAACGCCCTAAACCCTAAACCCTAAACCCTAAACCCTAAACCCTAAACCCTAAACCCTAAACCCTAAACCCTAAACCCTAAACCCTAAACCCTAAACCCTAAACCCTAAACCCTAAGTCGCAGGTGCTCGTGGAGCCCTCCTCTTCTTCCAGCTGATGAGCTTGTGCCCCTTCGGCTCACACGATGTTCGGGTTTAGGGTTTAGGGTTTAGGGTTTAGGGTTTAGGGTGTAGGGTGTAGGGTGTAGGGTTTAGGGTTTAGGGTTTAGGGTTTAGGGTTTAGGGTTTAGGGTTTAGGGTAGAAGGTTGACAACCCAAACGTATATCTCTGCCTGCTGTGGTCGCAAGACCATTTCAGGATCAAGGATGTCTCGGGCTTTTGGGGCTAGAGGAAGCACCAACATCCCTACGAAATCCTAAGCCCTAAACCCTAAACCCTAAACCCTAAACCCCAAACCCTAAACCCTAAACCCTAAACCCTAAACCCCAAGGGTTTAGGGTTTAGGTTTTAGGCTTAGTCGGGGTTTGGGGTTCCTTCCCACGATTTTGAGAACTTGAGGCAACATGCACACCTTCTACAAGTACTCCCTGGACGCCTATCTCATGGTGCCTGGGCTCGCAAGCCCCTGCGGCAGCTGAACCCCGAGAGAAGGGCCGGGAATCAAGCCCGACACCCTAACACCCTCCAGTAAACTCCAGAAAGTTGGAACATCCTTATCCCCATACCGCCCCATACCCCCATCAGGTATGCTAAAGGGAATCCCAGCTCTCATCTTCCTGAAGCCATGTTCCAACTTCCTGGAGCTTACTGTAACACCCAAACCCCCAAACCCCAAACCCCAAACCCTAAACCCCTAAAACCCCTAAAACCCCTAAAACCCCTAAAACCCCTAAAACCCCTAAACCCTAAACCCTAAACCCTAAACTCCACACCGCAGGGTTTTAAGGCTTCCGTGTTGAGGTTTAGGGTTTGTTGGGTTTAGGGAAGGATGGAGGGTTTTGGGTGTATATGGTAGGGCACACTGAGGGCTCAGTGCTTAAGGTGCAAACTGCTGGGGCTTTAGGCTTAAGGTTTAGGTTTTGGGGCTGAAGGTTCAGGATGCTGGGATTTAGGGTCTAAGGATTTTGGGGTTTAGGGTTTAGGGTTTGGGGTTCCCCCAAAACCCACCCCCATTAAAACAGGACATTCCGTGGGTTTCCCTACTACCCCCCTCTATACTGTTTAGGGTTTAGGGTTTAGGGTTTATGGTTTGGGGTTTAACCCCCTTTAGCAGAACCCCGCAACCCTACAGTAAACCCTAAACCCTAACCCCTAAACCCTAAACCCTAAACAGCCCTTTTTTGGGGAGACTTCCCAATGAAACCCTGTTCGCTCAAGGCATGCCAAAGATCTCTCCTTTGCCCAGCTCTCTGTTTCTCTAAGTGCCCAGGTGTGCCAGACGAGGTCTCGCGACCAAGCACGACATTCTAACGACCTCAAACCGCAGGGTTTAGGGTTTAGGGTTTAGGGTTTAGAGTTTAGGGTTTGAGGTTTAGGGTTTAGGGTTTAGGGTTGAGGGTTTAGGGTTTAGGGTTATTGAGGGTTTTAACATCACGGGCGCCCTCATCAGGTCGTCACACGCGCCGTGAACAGCGTCACGCTGCGGAAGCCGAAGGAGATCCTGGGGAATAGGGCTCGTAGGGCCTATAGGGCTTAAAGCACCTGTAGGGTTTAGGGTTTAGGGTTTAGGGTTTCGGGTTTCGGGTTTAATTAGGGTTTCGGGTTTAGGGTTTAGGGTTTCCACCCCCAGGGTCCCCCTTATACTAACAGTCCTTGATAGGGGGTTACTCGATTCCCTACGAAGGACTGTTCGTATAAGGGGGAACATCCCAATTCATAGGGCCTAAAGCACTAAAGCCCTAAGCCCTAAACCCTAAACCCTAAACTCTAAACCCTAAGCCCTAAACCCTAAACCCTAAACCCTAGACCTCTTTCGTGGTAAAGGGCTTCGAGCACCTTGAGCCTTGAGGCCTCTTCAACCAAACCCCGTGTAGCATCAGGGTTTAGGGTTTAGGGTTTAGGGTTTAGGGTTTAGGGTTTAGGGTTTAGGGTTGTAGCATCAGACGTCTGAAAGACAAGCAAGAGTCGGAAGCAAGCACACACGCGATGGCTTCGCTTCGGAGGCAGGGAGCCGACTGAGGCCTAAACCCTAAACCCTAAACCCTCAACCCTCAACCCTAGACCCCAGACCCTAGACCCTAAACCCTAAACCCTAAACCCTAAACCCTAAACCCCAAACCCCAAACCCTAAACCCTTGCTTTGGTGCCCGCCTCTCTCTCTCTCTCTGTCTTTCTCTCTGGTGTTGGTTATAGTATATCGGTGGCTTCGGCTCACGGAATGTCTGTAGCACACTACAGTCTAAAGGCACATGACGCCATATAGTTGGAGCTTTTAGTAGTGCTCTTGGTCTAAAGAAGGCTCATTCTTAGACTACAAGCCGATAAGTCCCCGAGCCCGAAACCCCTAAACCTTAAGGGTTTAGGGTTCAGGGTTTAGGGTTTAGGGTTTAGGGTTTAGGGTTTAGGCCCTTGGCAAGCAGGAGAAGAAGGTGGAGGAGAAGGTGGAAGAAGTGCCCGCCGAAGAGGAAGGTGGCGACGAGGCATCAGGGGGAGAGGGAGGAAGTCGCGTGTTCCTGACTTTTTAGGTTTAGGGTTTAGGGTTTAGGGTTTAGGGTTTAGGGTTTAGGGTTTAGGGTTTAGGGTTTAGGGTTTAGGGTTTAGGGTTTAGGGTGTAGGGTGTAGCGCTTAGGGTTTAGGGTTTAGGGTTTAGGGTTTAGGGTCCCTAAGGGTCCATGTACTTTATTGTTGTATACCTGGGCCTTAAAGTCCCTATATAGGAAGTACCTTAAGGCCCAGGTATACAATAATAAGGTACATGGACCCTTAGGTTACTAGTTCTCGCATGGCTATGGAGGAATCCACATATCTACGGTTTGGGGGCCTAAAGCTCCCCATCGAGGTGGGTGAGTCGTTCCATTTGCATCTTCACTCGTTCTTTTTCTGGAATATGGGGCTGTCCCAAGATAGAGGAGCTCCAACCTCCTCAGCTCACGAAAGCACGCCGGCGGTCCTTCAGAAGCAGCCTTATACTCTGACGGAGTACGCCCCACCCAACTACAGGTCCTACCAGGCCGTACAGACCCGCAAGGCCCTAAACCCTGGGCCCCCAACCTAGGGTCCTAAGCCCTACACCCCACAGGCTTTCCTAAGCCACGAAGCCCTCAGCCCACCTGAACCCCAACGCCCCCAAGACCCCGAAACACCGAAATCCGAACCCCCCCACCGCCCCCGAAGCGCCGACTGCAAAAAACGGTGAAAGAAGAATCCCCAAAGCCCCGAAACCCCAAACCTACAATTCCAACAACAAAAGAGAAACTCCTCGAATCTCTCGGAAACCCTCGAAACCCCTCGAAACTTCCCCGGACGTGAACCACCTCAATAATTTCAATGAACTCTCAAACCCTCAGCCCAAAACCCTCAAGCCTCCAAACCCCGAAATCCTGCACCCCGCTGCTGCGAAGCTCCAAAAACCCCAAACTCCCCGGAGTTTGAGGTTTAGGGTTTAGGGTTTACCCTAAACCCTACACCCTAAACCCTAAACCCTAAACCCTAAACCGTAAACCCTAAATCCTAATCGCCTGAACCTTAAACCCTAAACCCTAATATGCACCATGTCCAGAAAGGCTCGAGTTCCCCCAAGTCCCTTCATCTCCCCGAACTTGCCCGTACCCTGGTAACCCTAAACCCTAAACCCTAAACCCTAAACCCTAAACCCTAAACCCTAAACCCTAAACCCTAAACCCTAAACCCTCGCCAGGAGGGCGAGGAAGAAGACGAAGAAGGGGCTGAGGCCGAGGAGGCGCCTCCTGAGGAAGAGGAGGACGCCTCTGGGGTTTAGGGTTTGGGGTTTAGGGTTTGGGGTTTAGGGTTTAGGGTTTAGGGTTTAGGTGTGGGGTTTAGGGTTTAGGGTTTGGGGTCTGGGGTTTAGGGTTTGGGGTTTGGGGTCTGGGGTTTAGGGTTTGGGGTTTGGGGTTTAGGGTTTTGGGTTTAGGGTTTAGGGTTTAGGGTTTGGGGTTTGGGGTTTGGGGTTTAGGGTTTGGGGTTTGGGGTTTAGGGTTTTGGGTTAAGGGTTTGGGGTTTGGGGTTTAGGGTTTGGGGTTTGGCGGTTTCGGGTTTGGGTTTGGGGGTTTGCGGTTTAGGGTGTGGGTTCTGAGGTAAACCCCCTTGAACCCCTTGACCCCCTGACCCCCAACCCTCCTAAACCCCCTAAACCCTCCTAAACCCTGAATCCTGAACCCTGAACCCCAAACCCCAAACCCCAAACCCTAAACCCTAAACCCTAAACCCTGGACCGCCGCGGAGATGCGCAGGAAGAGATCATCGAGCTCACCGGAAAGGAGCTGAAGCTGCGAGTCGACCTGTGAAGAGCTCAGATTCTCAAGGGTTTAGGGTTTAGGGTGTAGGGTTTAGGGCTTTTCCCAAAAACGAAGAATCTACATATATAACATATATATATATATATATATTTGTAGACCCTTTAAGGAGGGAATTAGGGAAGATACTTTTTAAGGGAGTATATGGGGGTTTCCGAAAATAGCGGGGGGGTACCCTTTTGGGGGTCCCTTTGAAGGGGATTCTATTCTATTTTAGAGACTGCAATGTAGGGCTTAGGGGGCTTCAGGGGCATGGGCTTCAGGGAGCTTTGGATGATTTCGGGTTTAGGGTGTATCCGGGCTTTAGAACTCAGGTGCACAGGTTTTCCGGATTTGGATCATCTAGCGGCTTCTAGCGTTTAGGGTGAAGGGTTCTTCAGATCCTTCAGAGTCCTGGGATTCAACGGGGCTTTAGAAAACCTAGGGACTTTAGAGCTCATGCTGATGTAGTGGCCAATTTTGTATACCCTTCCAACAATACGTGGTGCAAAGTCGGTGGGATTTTGCTACAGGGGGGCTGCAGGGTTTAGGGGCTGTAGGGGTTAGTCTTCAAAGGGTTTTTTTCAATGTTCTCAAGTTTCCGTTGTCAACATGCCGCTCCCCTAACCCCAAGGCCTGGACTCTAGACCGGAACCAATCGGAGTTGTGTATATTGCGGTTGGTCCCAATTGCGGCAGATGTGATGATGGATCCCGGTTGCCCACTTGAACAAGTTGATAGGCTTCGCAGAAGCACACCTCCCCCCCTCCGCCTGGGCGCTAATCTTGCCAGCACGCTACTACTCCTACCACACCCCAAACTTACTGGTTCTTCGTGGTACCCCTTGCAGGTCATAGAAGTACTTAGAAGCCTAGACCAGTAAGCCTAAGGGTTCATGTACCTAAATAGGGAGTACTTGGGCCTTACAGTACTTCCTACATAGGGACTTTGGGGCCCAAGTATATAATGCTGAGGTACATGGACCCTTAGGGTACTAATAAACCCAAAACCCTAAACCCAAAACCCAAAACCCAAAACCCTAAACCCAAAACCCTAAACCCTAAACCCTAAACCCTAAACCTAGAACCAGCAAGCAAACTCTCCAGGCTTTGCAACATCATCACCTTCTTCGTGTGGAACTACACACGGCGAGGTCTGCTGGACTCGGACAAGCTGACCGTGGTGTCTCGGCTCGAAATTAAACCCTAAACCCTAAACCCTAAACCCCAACCCTAAACCCTAAACCCTAAACCTTAACCTTAAACCAGAAACCCTAAACCCTAGTCAACCCCTAAACCTTAAACCCTAAAGCCTAAACCCTAAGCCCTAAACCCTAAGCCCTAAACCCTAGACCATACACGCGGGTTCAGAGAATTGGTGCCTTGGGGTTTCTGACCTTTGGCACCTTGCAGCCGTTGGTGAGGGCCGGGCTTATCTAGAGCTTCGGGCCAGGGCTCCAAACCCCAAGCCCCAACAAACCGAGAAGCCCAAAGACCCCAGATGCTCCCTACAAGCCAAAGCCCTAAGCCCTGCAACCCAAAAACCCCGAAGCCTAAGCCCTAAACCCCAAAACCCGAAAGCCTAAACCCTGAACCCTAAACCCTAAACCCTAAACCCTAAACCCGAAACCTTAAACCCACTTTTGCAATCCCACGAGGTGAGCATGATGGCCATGAACATCCTTGTGCGGGTCGCGGGCCCCAGCCGAGGGAACGAACCCGCGGACTCGCTCTGCTTTGGCTTGCTTGTTCTGCGTAGGGAATGAAGGAATTCGGCCTTATGTCCCCGTATATCTTACCCTTTCAAGGGTTTAGGTTTAGGGTCCGTGCCTTAGCCGCTTCGGTTTAGGGCTTAGGTTTTGGCTGCCGCTCAGGATTTGTGTTTAGGGTTTCGGTTTAGGGTTTAAGTTTAGGGTTTATGGTTTCAGTGAAGGGTTTAAAGTTTAGAGTTTCCGGTTCAGGCTCAGTCGTGTCCCCTGCCCAGGCTGGCAAGATCACGACGGACGAGAAGGACGCAACAGCAAGAGAGCCCGAAACCCCACCCTAAACCCTAAACCCTAAACCCTAAACCCTACACCCTAAACCCTCAGCCCTCAGCCGAACCCCTGGCTTAGAGCCTAGGATTTAGGGTTTATCTTCGGGTAGCTACATCTGGGCCCTTCATTGGGGAACCCGTATGTATCCCCTTTTGAGTTCTCTAGATTATGGTCCCTTCTGGGCTCCTTATTCTAAGGCGGCCCCGAGTAAGTAGGGTGCTTGTACCCCCAAAAAAGGGCATACCGTGTAAAGCCCAAGGGCACCTAAAGAAGGTAAGGGACCCACGTTAAGCCCATGTAGCATAGCTGCCTCCTTAAGGGTGACGTTTAGGGTTTAGGGATTTAGAGTTTAGGGTTTAGGGTTTAGGGTTTAGGGGAGGGGCTTGGACCTAATATCCGAAACGGAAGTGGCTCTTGTGAGACCCTACCAGAAGCCCAGCCCAAGCCTGTAAAGCCACGAAGCCCTGGACCGTAAATTGAACCTAAACCCTAAATTACTAAACCTAGGATGTTCCCCCTTATACTAGCAGTCCTTCATAAGAATCATGATAGGGTGTATTCTGATCCTTATTAAGGCCGTTAGTACAAGGGTGAGAATCACAGTACTAAACCACCAAAAACCCTAAACAACAAGCCAGCCCTCGTCTTACAAGCAAAATGGACAGGTTTCCTAGATGCTCGTCCCTGATTCTGAGCACCCCTGAATCATGGTAACGGGACCATGGCCTAGAGAACAGCTGGGGGTTGAGAGGAGCTCAAAGGTTTAGGGCCCTAAGCCCTGAAGCCTGAGCCTTTAGTCCGACTCTGAACCCCTAAACCCTAAACCCTTACCCTAAACCCTGAAGCCCAGACCGTAAACACTAAACCTTGAACCCTATCATAGAATTCGAGGAGACCTTGATTCGCTGCCCTCCAGATCCCAATCCGCCGGCGATGCCCGAGAACGCAAGGACCATTCCCTCTTCAGAGGGATGAGAGGCTTTTTGGGGTTTTTAGGGATGTGTTGAAACAATGCGTTTGAAAAAAGAAGTGACAAGAAAAACGGTGGAAGGATGGAGACAGTGAGATGAAGGTGGGTCTTGCAGTTTAGGCTTTTCTTTGTTGTGCTCTTTCTTCTATTTTGTTGAGAGGGCTTCGGCGGGGGAGGGCTTCAGTGTTTAGACTTTGAGGGCTTGTCAGCCCCATCTACACAAACTATCCGGCAACATATGCTTTAACTAGCCTACGACGTGTTTGTTGCTTTTTTGGCGGTGGGGGAAGGGGGAGGGGAGGCTGCGGGGGGTTGATTCGACAGCAGAGGGCTGAAGGTGCCTTCACAAGAAGTCGAGCTTGCGAAGGAGATCCTAAATCATAAAGCCCTAGACCTGAGTTTCTAAACATTAATTAAACCCCAAATCCCACACCCTAGACCCTAAACCGCAAATCCCAAATCCTCACTTTCATCAAGTGGGCTCTCGCTTTGGGAGACATTGTTTTGGAGCGACCCTAGACTTCCCCAAGGCCAACAGCAAAGGTTAGGGTTTAGGGTTTAGGGATTTAGGGATTTAGGGACCTAGGGTTTATGGGGTTTTTGGGTTCTGGGTTCCCTACACGAAACCTGCAACCCATGACAAGGCCACAAAAGCCCCGAACAGGAGCTGGCTGTCCGAGACGCAGTGGGCACAGCTCAAGACCCTGGAGAACATGGAGGTGGGTCCTAGAGCCCCTAAAGAAGCCCAGATTCCTGAAACCCTAAACCCTAAGCCCTAAGCCCTAAACCCTAAACCCTAAACCCTAAACCCTAAACCCTAAACCCTAAACCCTAAACCCTAAAGCCTAAAGCCTAAAGCCTAAAGCCTAACCCTAAACCCTAAACCCTAAACCCTAAACCCTAAACCCTAAACCCTAAACCCTAAACCCTAAACCCTAAACCCTAAACCCTAAGCATTCATGGTTTCTGGGGAGTTTGACCTTGTTGGGGTGTTGGGGCTTAGTTCGGGCGGGAGGAACGGGGCGGGTGGGGCGGGGGGCTTTTTTTGTTCAGCTTTGATTTTGCTGCTGCTTTGCGAAGGTGGGGCAGGAACCCTAAACCCTAAACCCTGAAACCTAAACCCTAAACCCCAATCCCCAAACCATTGGGGGTGTTCGGTTGGTCACCGAGATGGAGTTTAGGAACACCGGCTCCGGTATGCTGATGGGGCTGAAGCCCTAAACCCTATGCCCTGAACCCTGAACCCTAAACCCGAAACCCTAAACCCTAAACCCTAAACCCTAAACCCTAAACCCTAAACCCTAAACCCTAAACCCTAAGTAAGGAGGATTGGCGGCTCTTGCATTTTGGGACTGCAGCTTCGGGCGTAGAGGTGGAGAATCGTCTGCCCCCTACCACTCCAGGCCATAATCCCAAACCCTACCAACCCCTCTAAACCCTAAACCCTAAACCCCAAGCCCCAAGCCCCAAGCCCCAAGCCCCAAGCCCCAAGCCCCAAGCCCCAAGCCCCAAGCCCCAAACCCCAGCCAAAACCCGAAAGCCTGCCCCAGGCATTCAAGAAAGGAGGCCAGTTGACTCAGAACATTGAGCAGGACGATCGGCCGGTCAAGGGTCCTCAACACTAAACCGACAAGTCTAGGGTTTAGGGTCTAGGGTCTAGGGTTCAGGGTTTAGGGTTTAGGGTTTAGGGTTTAGGGTTTAGGGTTTAGGGTTTAGGGTTCCCTAAATCCTAAACCCTAAACCCTAATCGCCTGAACCTTAAACCCAAAACCTAATAAGCACTATGTCCAGACAGTCTCGAGTTCCCCCAAGTCCCTTCATCTCCCGGGTAGGTACCCAAAAGAATCCCTTAAAGGGGTATGTATAGGGGGCTATAAGGCACTTAGATCCGAAGCAATAGGCTGTTCCCAGGTTTGGTGTTCAGGCTTTAGGGTTTGTGTGTGCCCAGGGATCGCTTCCTTTCAGAGCACACAACTCGTAAGCCCTAGAACCGCCGCTGGTGCCCTCTTCACTTCACTTTGTCTGGGGCTGAGGTTCTGTCTGTTGCCCCAAAGAAGCCAACAACGGGGATCCCTCTTCTTTCTGGGTTGGGGAACTTCGCCTGCAAGACTGTGACACCCTAAACCCTAAACCCTAAACTCGCGTCGACTGCAGAGAGCCGATCAGCTTCAGAGAACGAGCAAAGAAAAGGCATTCGCAACCTAGACACACTGCCGAAAGCCCTTCACGCTAGGACTCCCTTGGCTGGAAGCGCTGGTACAGCGAGGAGAAGGCTTCCAGCTTCTTTTTTTTTTTTTTTGGGGGGGGGGGGGGGGGGGGGGGGTTAGGGTTGAGGGTTTAGGCTTGATGGTGTTCGTAGGACGGTTTAGGGTTTCGGGTTTAGGGTTTAGGGTAGGCCCTTGTTCACCTGCTTTAGGGCTAAGCCTCCCCTGTAAGCCCCGTCAAACCAAACAGTGCAGCCTTTTTATTCCCAGGTTACTCTGGTGCCTAGGTTTTGGTTTTAGGCGTTCAGGGGTGTCCAGGGGATGAAGGGATTTGGGGATTTAGGGCTGCTTATGTCATGTTGTACTTGAAGAGCTTCTGCTTCCAATATGAGCAAAAACTCAATCACCAACTTTTGGAGCTGCATCGAAGTAAGCGAACGGCTTATGCACAACCTGGGACCCAGAGCAGGGCCTTATTCCTTTTGTTTTGGGGTTTATAGTTTTCTTACAAGCCCCTTTAAACCAAACAGTGCACCCTTTATATTCCTAGGTAACTCTTGAGTCTGGGAACTGTCCGTACTTCTGCACCGTTCGAGGAGCATTCGTCGCTGGGTACGCCCTTGCAAGCCAGCACCCTAAAAAGCTAAACCCTCAACCCAAAAAAACCCAAACCTTCAACCCAAAAACCCTCAACCCTAAACCCTAAGCCCTAAACCCTAAACCCTAAACCCTACAAAACCACCCTACAAGGCTGAGAACGCCGACCTCCCGCGAAGTGCCCGCGACTTGAGCCTTGGCTGCAGACACCCTGGGTTGTGCCTGTGCTTTGGGATATGGTTTCTTCAGTTTCTGAGGTGACTCTCTTCGGATATCATGTTGTTTTTCCTTGTTTGGTTGAATAGGAGAATACTGGGTTGTGCTTTGGGATATTTTTTTGTTTAAGTTGTTTCCTCTTTCCTTGTAATGGAACGTATTCATACAGAATAGTTCAAAGGGTTTAAACTGGGATGTTCCCCCTTATACTAAATGTAGCTGCGGCCCAGGAACCAGTTCCAGCGCCTCTTCCTGCTCCGCGTCATGCGGCAAGACCGCCGGGGGCCTATTTCAAGAACTGTGTGTGTTTGATGCTTCCGCTCTTACATCAGGCTTGATTTTTTGGCGTTTATGTATATACCATACAATTCAAGACGTACTTTCAGCACACATTCTTCTCGATGTGCGAGGGCATGCGTGCAGGTAAGCCCCGAAACTTCTATGATGGTTTACGAAAATCAGGGACCCCGAATATAGACCCGAAATAGTAGGATTCCCTTACAATACGAACCCCAAATAAGGTACAGTACTCCCTGATTTCGGAAATCCCCCATATCCCACCGAGACTTACCCTACAAGGCATCGGCGCGGCACTGTCGCAGTTCGTCATCGACAACCTTGGTCAGGCACCAGGGGCGGATAGGGTTTAGGGTTTAGGGTTTGGGGTTTAGGGTCTAGGGTTTAGGGTATAGGCTCCGGCCCTAAACCCTGAACCCTCAACCCTAAACCCTGAACCCTAAACCCCAAACCGTAAACCGTAAACCCTGAACCTTAAACCCTGGATCCTATAGACCCAAGTAGGGCCAGAGCTGCCTCAGGTTTCGGGGTTTCAACACCCCACCCCCCCCCCCCCCTCCCACCCCTCCCCCCCCCTCCCCCCCTCACCCCCCCCCGCCCCCACCCAAAAAAAGCAACAACAAAAATCCCCGAGCTGGAGCAATCAAGGTTGTGCCAGAATTTTGGGACCCTGTTGGAACTAGGGTTTGGGGTTTAGGGTTTTGGTAAGAAACTCCGAATAAAGTTAGCCGAATCTTTCTGTTATCTGGAGTACGTGTGCCATACTTGTTTGCTACAAAACCGAATGAAGCTAGCTTCATTTAACTTCCTCAACAACTAGGATGCCCAGTAGTGCCCTTATTCCCTTTTTGGGGGGTTCAGGTTCCCTTATAAACCCCTCTAAGCAAAAAAGGGCACCCTTTTTAAGCCTAGGTTACTGGGCAGCCTAGACAAGAAGCCGAGCTTCCAAAGAGTAGGAGGAGCCACGCTTTCAAGTAGCCCCTGAGGGGAACCCTACGGGTCCATGCACCTTACAATGATATACTTGGGCCCCAAAGGTTTAGGGTTTAGGGTTTAGGGTTTAGGGTTTAGGGTTTAGGGTTTAGGGTTTAGGGTTTAGGGGAAGTACTTTGAGGTCCAGGTATACAACAATAAGGTACATGGATGCTTAGGGGACCGACAAGTCTTCGGGTTTAATTAGGGTTAAGGTTTCTGGGGTTGAGGGCTTAGGGTTCAGGGTGCAGGGTCAAGGATTCGGGTTTCAGGAGTTTTCTTCGTGGGTTGGCTGTATCAGTTCGGTTCCACCGGGGTCAAGATATGAAGCGTACAGCGTTCATAGGATACGAGCCTCTACGCTCAAGCTCATGATTGGAAGCTGCTTGTCGGGTGCGCGTCCAAACCCTGAGCCCCCAACCCTGAACCCTAAGCCCAAAGCTCTAAACCCCAAACCCCAACCCCAAACCCTAAACCCTAAACCCTAAGCCCTAAACCCTAAACCCTAAACCCTAAGCCAAAACCCAATAAACCCTAAACCCTAGACCACGGCAGGATTTCGTCGAGCAGCCGCCGTTTGACATGGAGGCCTGCGGGGCTAGGGGCTACAGGATGTATAGGGTTTAGGGCTTAGGGCTTAGGGTTTAGGGTTTAGGGTTTAGGGTTTAGGTTTAGGGGTTAGGGCTTAGGGTTTAGGGGTAGGGATATGTAAGGTTTTAGGGTTGGGGCTACAGGGTGTATAAAGTTCAGGGTGATAGGAATTACATGTAGAGTGGCTGAGGTTCCCATGATCGTGTCTGCGTTTTACTGCGTCAGTTTGTCTGTGCCAGGGTTGTATTTTATAAAGCTGCTTCCTGGCAAGCCTAAGCTTTAAATCCTGAAGCATAGGCCTTGAACCCGAGACCCGAAACCTCTAACCCTGAACCCTAAACCCTAAACCCTAAACCCTAAACCCTAAACCCTAAACCTCATGGACAACTCTAATCATATAAACCCTAAACCCTAATGGACAACTCAAGCGGCCCCGTTTGGCAAGCAAGGGGTCTGATCTTGTCCTGGCCTGCGCGCGCGGCCGCCCACGGCCTCGGCCTCCGAACCCTGAACCCTGAACCCTGAACCCTGAACCCTGAACCCTGAACCCTGAACCCTAAACCCTAAACCCTAAACCCTAAACCCTAAACCTTAAACCCTAAACCCTAAACCCTAAACCCTAAACCCTAAACCCTAAACCCTAAACCCTAAACCCTAAACCCTAAACCCTAAACCCTAAACCCTAAACCCTAAACCATAAAACCTAAACCCTAAACCCTAAACCCTAAACCCTAAACCCTAAACCCTAAACCCTAAACCCTAAACCCTAAACCCTAAACCCTAAACCCTAAACCCAAACCTGGCCCAACGTAGCCCCTTTTTCACTACTTGCAGAGCCTCTGGCTCTGGCCTTCGGAGCAGGTGTCTTTCGACGAGTCGACGTCCATCACTCCGTTCTTCTTCGTGCTCTTCCCAGGCGGTTCCGAACCCTAAACTAGACATGCTAATTGCTTAAACCCCCCCCCCCCCCGCAAACAAAATCAAAAGGTTCTTCCTTGTACCCTAAACCCTAAACGGTTTAGGGTTTAGGGCACAAGGAAGAACCTTTTGATAAACCCTAACACCTAAACCTGAAGCCCTAAACCGCCCCCAAAACAAGATATCTCCACACCACGAGGAGGCTTTGCGGGTCCAGTTCAAAGGTGTGGGCTCGGGACGCTCGGCCCAATGCGTGCCGCAAGCTCGCCCTAAACCCGAAACTTTGGGATGTGCACTTAATTCATACTCACAGTCCTTAGTAGAGGTTTAGTAAACACTACAAGAACTAGCAAGCCCTAAGCCGCGAACCCCAAACCCGTAACCGCCAGCTCAAGAAAAAGGAGCATGTACAACTAACCCTAAACCCTAAACCCTAATCCCTAAACCCTAACCCTAAACCCTAAACCCTAAACCCTAAACCCTAAACCCTAAACCCTAAACCCTGAACCCTGAACCCTGAACCCCTGAGAGCCGGAGTTGCAGGTGTGGACCCGACGCCCATGATCGAAGCCCTCGGGCGAAAGCTGGGCAAGACGGAGGCCGCACCCGAGGTTCTAAGGGCTTGGGGGGTTTAGGGTTTCGGGGTTAGGGTTTAGGGCTGAGGGCTTAGTGTGGAGGGTTTGGGAGGGTTTAAGGTTTAAGGGCTTGCGGCGTAGGGTTGAGGCTTCAAACCCCAGGGTATTCTCGAAACTACCCTTAACCCTAGCCGTAGCCCTAAACCAACTACCCGTAGAACTCAGAGACAAAAAGACAGCCAGTTTCCACTTTAATTATGAAGGTAGCACTTGGCCCTTGAGCCACCCCTTACTCGTAATGTCCATGGCAGAGATCCTAAGCCCTAAGCCCTCCACCCTAAAACCCTAAACCCGAAACGGCCCCCCCCGCCCTCCACCGTGCCAGGCGAATGGCCAGTTGCTGAACATCTCCATGGGACAGGGTCAGGAGACGTCTTGCCACGTTGCAAACTGCCCGAGTCCTAAGGGCTTCACTCCCGACCGCCCCCCCCGAAGCCCCAAAAGCCCTGCTGAACATCGATTTTTAAGAGCCTTGAAAGCCTTTTGGCGCCCTATAGACCCTAAACCCGTGCTTCCAAAACCCAAAACCCGAAACCCTAAACCCTAAAACCCTAAACCCTAAACCCTAAACCCTAAACCCTAAACCCTAAACCCTAAACCCTAAACCCTAAACCCTAAACCCCCTTCTGAAAAAAGCCAGGAGAAGATCGCCCTGAATGCCCTCAACAAGATGGCCAAGGAAGGCGGCTTCGGGCCACTCCAAAGAGCAACATCTGGAAGGGTTTAGGGGTTAGGGTTTAGGGTTTGGGGTGTAGGGTTTAGGGTTTAGGGTTTAGGGTCCTCCTTTCAAGGGTTCTGAAGTATGGGGCATACTAAGGCTGCGTAGCTACCTTAAGATGGGCGTCTGGAGTTCTTGAGGTCGGGGGTTTATCCGGGTACCCCCCCCCCCCCCCCAAAAAAAAAAAACAAAGAAAAACAACAAAAAGGTACCACTGGATAAGAAAAGGAGGTTAGCTGAAGGGTAGCTGAACTGGGTGGCGGTGCGAGGTGTTACCACCCTAAACCCTAAACCCTAAACCCTAAACCCTAAACCCTAAACCCTAAACCCTAAACCCTAAACCCTAAACCCTAAACCCTAAACCCTAAACCCTAAACCCTAAACCCTAAACCCTAAACCCTAAACCCTAAACCCTAAACCCTAAACCCTAAACTAAACCCTAAACCCTAAACCGGTCCTCACGTGACCATACATTCTGGAATTCGATAGGTTCAAGGTTGAAGGGTCTTACGGTTTAGAGATAAAAAGTGTCAAAGTGCTTAAGAGATGTCGGAGGCGCCCAAGCCCCAAAGCAGTAGACCTGATTCCCTAAGCCCCTAAACCTATATTACCCTTTCAAAGGTACAAGGGCACACTCAAGCCCAAACTAAACCCTAAACCCGTGAACCCTAAACTCCGACTGTGCCTAGGTGCATGCGGTTGAGTGGGTGAAGGTTTTCTAGGTCCCGGAGTAGGCCCTTATTTCCTTTTGTCAGGGTTGGGGTTCCCTTATCATCCCCTCAAAGCCAGAAAGGGTACCCTTTGTATTCCTAGGTTACTCCTAGGTCTAGTCTTTGCGGCCGGGAGGAGTGAAGTTAGGTGCTACTAAGGGTTAGGTTTGGTGTCTGGGGTTTGTGCGTTAGGATTGACTAGGGTTTGGCGTCTCAGACTAAACATGTGGACTATAGGTATAGGTCCGGACAGACAGCCTGGGGGGTGTGTGCTGTCAAATTAGGGCTCGGGACGCTCCAGCACAAAGGGTTTGGAGGTTTGTGTCAGAGTCGCTGTAGCTAATTCTGTGATCTCTCGTCTATTTTGGGTAGTCTGAATAAAACGACTCCATCAGTGCAAGAATTTCGCATGTGGCTTCAGGTTCAGGTGTTAAGCCCTCACCCTAAACCCTAAACCTTAAACCCTAAAGCCTATGAGGCTCGAAGGGAGTGAGTTGTATCATGAGGGCCTCCTGGCAGGCGGATGGATCATGTTGCAGAACATTCACTTGATGCAGGTTGGGGGGGGGGGGGCTGGAGTCTGGGGTTCAGGGGGCTCAGTGCTCGGGTCTAGGGGTTCCGGGTTTAGGCTTCAGGGGTTGGGTACTGAGGTTCAGAGAGTGCGCAGGACTAGCAGATTGGGTTCAAGGTCGAGCGGTTTCGGGTCCAGAGTTATCAGGTTTGGGTATTAAGGGATTTCCAGGTTGATGTGCCTGTGTCATCCACCACAGAAAGTCTGGTAAAGCGGGCCTCCGCGCCTCAACTGCAGCTTCCTTCATCACATTGCATCTTCGGCATCCGTAGACGTTTGCAGCTCTTCTGGTTCAGCATGAAAGCTCAACAACATAGTCCGTTTCCCTGATGGTGCGAGGCATATCGCACTGTTTTGTTTGCAACGCAGACCTGTCGGAGTCGTGTCCTTCCGAGTCCCATTGCGAGAGCTTCTATCATATTGCTGAGGTGCACAAGCTCCTTCGAGACAAAAGGCTCTTCCACACAAGAGTGGACAGTTGGAAGCTCGACAGAGCCACCCTCGCTGCTCGTGACCGCTGTCTGAGGCACTTGCAGGAGGCGCTACGCCCAGCAGAAGTCCATGTTACTGGAAGCATGGGAAAAAGCACAGCTTTGCAAGGCGAGCATGACATGGATGTTGTTGTAGTGACCTCAAGTTCCCGGGACCTTGTGGTGAAGCAGCTGCAAGGGGCCGGCTTCGGTGGTGTCAGGGCGCAGCGGCCAAAGGACGAAGGGCGCTGCCTGATCGTGGCCACGTTTGAGATGTGGGAGTTTGTGAGAACAAGCGGTCCTGAATGTAGACCCTGAATGGTAGGATCCTGATACTCAAAGAGCTCCAAGTAGAGGGCTCCTAAGTTGGCATTCCCCAGGTTTTCGCTTGACATCCTCCCGGTGACATCGCTCCAGCCGCAGACTTGGGCATATGACCAGGTGAGGAACAAGAAGTTCTACGCAGAAGCGCTTCTTGCCTGGAAGAAGGTTCTGGTGGTGGTAATGAAGGCACTCTACAGACTGAAGTTTGCGAACGTTCCAGGTGTGCTGTTGGAGGCAATTGTGCATTCCCTCCCTGACGATGCACCACGTGGTATCCATGGCATGCTGCTGGAGGCATTTTCAGTGATTCAACAGAACAATCATTTCCCTGAACCATCAGTGGGAACAGACGTGGTGAAGGTTTTCGAGGATCGAGGCCTTTGTGCATGGTCCGACTTTCTCAACGCTATACGAGGGAACTCTGCAGCCTCAAGGAGCCGCCAAGTGCTATGAGCTTGGGGAATTTCTGCCAGCAGAGCCTCCCTTGCGGGCACGAAATATCAATGCAGTTCGGAGACTCGACCTTCTCTATGGGAGTAAGCTGCAATCGCCGGTTTGTGGACACCGTCCTTTCGCTGGGCTTGCAGAAGGAGGATTGCTTCGCTTTTTACGAGGAGACCAACCACCTTCGTCAAGTCACAGAGCGCTTTCTCCTTAGTGCGAGTTGCCACGAGACTCCGAGCGGCATCGAAGGGCAGTTCTGCATGAACAGGCCGTGGTCCAGCGGCCCGCCCATTGACTTCAGCAATCTCGATCAGTTGCCATGGCCGAGGCTGACGGACAAAGGCACGCAACATTTCGGTACCATGCCAGAGGCGCTGGCATTCATGGCGCAGATGGCACATGGAGATGAGGAGGTGGAGCTGCACTTTAGTCCTTTCTTGCTCCGAGGGTTGCTGAGGCACAGCGGCTTTTCGGTGGAAAGCAGCCTTCGAGCAATTTCTGCTGGTCAGACTGCTACAGTCAGCACGGGGCTGTACTTCAGATTTCTGAATGCCGGCTTTAAGTGTCTCGGTAGCCCAGTGGTGCCCTGTTCCCCTTTTTTGGGGGGTTCAAGGTTTCCCTAGAAAGTAACCAACCCGACCAAAGGGTACCCTCATTATTCCATTATGGTTTCTGGGCTACTGAGGTGTCGCATGTGGTTAGACAAGGAAGAGTTGACGATCCTTAATGCCAGCTTATGGAATGCTGAGGAGTATATCTCACGGGTTTTCGATTACCGTCTGAGGGAAGATGGGATCTCTGTCAAGATTGAGTTGCACAAGCCGTCCTCTTCAAGGTTCACACGTCCCTCAACGCGGACTTTGGATGTACATTTAGAGAGCTTTTCGGCACTTGTCCGCTACTTGACAGAGAGCGCGCACCGTTGCATTTCCGTCGAGCTGTCCTTCAACATGCGCCTGTGGCTTGAACTGGCCAGTTTGAGCTCCGCTACCCCCACAGTCAGCAAGGAGCTTCAGCAAGGAGCTTCAGAGAAGCTTCTTGCATGACGCGGAGCCAGGCGACGTTCTTCTCTTCCCGGGCGCACCGTTCTTGGGCCACATGTGGCTGAGCAAGTGGCAGCTCGGCGTCGTGCTGCCAGAAAACGCGTTACAGAGCCTCGTGTATGGCATCGCAGAGCATATACGAGAAGAAGGATTTGAGGCGTGCTGGTCGTCGACATCTTTCCCAGACAAGGTCTTCATCTGCATTTTGGCCAGTCCGATTGCAATGCTATTGTTTTGGTTGTTCGTATTGTTACTTGTAGCAGCCTCCTAGCACGCCTATGCGAAAAACAAGCATTCTTGCTCCTTCTGGGAGGTCTGGGAGATCCAATATTCAAAGCAGGACCTAGAGTAGGCCCTAAATTCCCTTTTCTAAGACTTGGGTTCCCATATAAGCCCCTTTAAACCGAAAAGGGTACCCCTTATTCCTAGGTTACTCCTGGGTCTAGCACACGTAGTTTAAACTGGCACGACATTGAACAGGTTTGCATGTAGTAGGGCCTTAAACCCTAAACCCTAAACCCTTTGTCAGGGTGTTGGTGAGCAGCTCTAGAGTCGAGTCTTCTCAGGTCCATCAGTGAGTGCTTATCACACATACTGTAAGGTTAATACTATTGATACCCCATATAGCGTTTGGGTTTAGGGTACCTAGGGACGACTTGGGCCTTGAAGGCCAATGTATACAACAATGAGGTACACAGACCCTTCGGGATAATCAATGGATGCTGATTTTGGATGAATGCAGCCGCCGTCTTTCCTTGCAACCGGGCTGCCCAATACCAGACACAAGGCCAACCCTGTATAGGCCTGAACCCGGCTGAAAGCGTCCGCTCGCCTCCATGCATGTGGATAGGGTTTAGGGTTTAGGGTTGAGGGTTGAGGGTTTAGGGTTTAGGGTTTAGGGTTTAGGGTTTAGGGAATACCAACCTCACGTTGATCGGTGAGGCTTGGCTGAAGGACTTGGAGCGTGCCTTGGAAGTCATTGAGGAGTTCGCCCACGATGACTCTTGGGCAGCGTTTAGGCTAGGAGGGGGGAGGGGGCTTTTCAAGTATAGGCCAACCCCAAACTCCCTAAACCCCTCTAAGCCCTCCAAACCCTCGAAACCCTCTAAACCCTCCAAACCCTCTAAACCCTCCAAACCCTCCAAACCCCCTAAACCCTCTAAACCCTCCAAACCCTCCAAACCCTCCAAACCCTCCAAACCCTCCAAACCCTCCAAACCCTCCAAACCCTCTAAACCCTCTAAACCCTCTAAACCCTCTAAACCCTCCAAACCCTCTAAACCCTCCAAACCCTCCAAACCCCCTAGACCCTCCAAACCCTCCAAACCCTCCAAACCCTCTAAACCCTCTAAACCCTACACCCGAATAAATCTACGCCGGAAGTTCCTTTACGGTTTTAGGGTTTAGGGTTTAGGGTTTAAAGGTTTGGGAACCCAGGGCCCGAAACCCTGCAACCCACGCAGCCCTCAAGCCGAGTCGTCCCTAAATGCACCCTAAGTTTCCCCTTATGCGCTTGGCCTGGTCCAGGCCCCCGGCTTCTGCTTCGGTAGGGCTCCGGGAGGTTAGGGTTCGCTTCGAGGGTTCAGGGTTCAGGGTTCAGGGTTCAGGGTTCAGGGTTCAGGGTTCAGGGTTTAGGGTTTAGGGTTTAGGGTTTAGGGTTTAGGGTTTAGGGTTTAGGGTTTATAGGGGTTCGGGCCCAAGAGACCCTAAACCCTCCAGAACCCTCAGCCCACAGCCCAGAAACCCTAAACCCCAACACCCAAAACAAGAAGCCAGAAGTCCTAAACCCCAGAACCCCAAGGCCTTTGCATCCACTGCCATAGTCTCTAACTAGGATGCCCAGTGGTACCCTTATTCCCTTTTTGGGGGGTTTAGGTTCCCTTAAAAACCCCTTTAAGCAAAAAGGGGCACCCTTTTTAAGCCTAGGTTACTGGGCAGCCTAGCTAAAGCGCCCGAAGTGTCCCAAGTGCTACAGCCTTGGCATCCCTAAACCCTAAACCCTAAACCCTAAACCCTAAACCCTAAGCCCTAAACCCTAAACCCTAAACCCTAAACCCTAAACCCTAAACCTAAACCCTAAACCCTAAACCCTAAACCCTAAACCCTAAACCCTAAACCCTAAACCCTAAACCCTAAACCCTAAACCCTAAACCCTAAACCTAAACACCAAACCCTACAGATCCCTCCCGAGGACTTCCGTTGCTTCCTGACCTCCGAGCCGCCTGGAGCCATGCAGGGCAAGCTCTGGGCACCCTGGGCGCATGTGGGTAGGGTTTAGGGTTTAGGGTTTGGGGTTTGGGGTTTGGGGTTTGGGGTTTGGGGTTTAGGGTTTAAGGTTTTGGGTTTAGGGTTTAGGGTTTAGGGTTTGGGGTTTCGGGTTTGGGGTTTAGGGTTCAGGGTTTAGGGTTTAGGGTTTAGGGTTTGGGGTGGAGGGGAGCTCCGGAGTCGAGGGTTTAGAATTTAGGGTTCTGGGTTCTTTGAGGTTGTCGTGGGTTACCTGGGGTCTAGGTGTAGGGTTTCGGGGTTTGCGTGGTTTGGGGTTTAAGGCTTAGGGGCTTTGGGTTTTTTGGCGTTCTTGCGTTTTGTGTTTTTGGTCTTGCGTTTGGTTTTTTTGGTTTGGTTTGTTTCGCTTCAGGCCTGGGGTTTAGGGCCTAGGGGATTTCTCCCTGGTTTCAGGGTCTTGGGGTGTAGAGCTTTGTTGTTTTGGTTTTGGGTCCCAGGGGCGTTGGGAGTTTAGGGTTCTGGGTTTATGGGTTTTAGGGGGTTTGGGGTTTTTTGAGGCCCGGGTTTACCTCACTCCCCCCTGACTTTCTAGACAAGCTAAGCTGTAAGGTTGGGTTTAGGGTTTAGGGTTTAGGGTTTAGGGTTTAGGGTTTAGGGTTTAGGGTTTAGGGTTTAGGGTTTAGGGTTTACGGTTTAGGGTTTAGGGTTTAGGGTTTGTGGGCCTTGCTTCGGGCTGGGGATAGCCTGGGATCCCATCGCCAAGGCTGGCTTCTTGCTGCAGGAATTGTAGGGTATAGTATGGTATGGTGTAGGTTTTCGTGTTTGGGGTTGAGGGTTTGAGTTTATGAGCCGGCTGTTCTTTGCAGACTTCGGTGTTCAAAACACACCCCTAGACAGCCTCCGCACCGCTTCCAGCGATCGAGCCGGGCTATTTGGTCTGGTCCAAGACTGCGAAGACACATTAACACAGTCAGCTTGCCTGCGCGCTGAGCTTGAGCTCTGTGTTGAACAAGCGAGTTTGGGCTCAATAAACTAGGAACGCTGGCCGACGATTGGACGGAACGTGGAGTGTGGGATTCAAATGACGAGCTTATTGCATCGAGGATGTTTAGGGTTTAGGGTCTAGGTTTAGGGTTTTTTAAGGTCTAGGCTCCATAAGGGTTTCGGGTTAGGGTTTAGGGTTTAGGGTTTCGGGTTTAGGGCTTAGGGGTTAGGGTTCAGGGCTTAGGGTTTAGGGTTTAGGGTTTAGGGTTTAGGACCCCCAAAATCTCAGCCCCCAGCCCGAGCTCCTCAAGCCAGCGCCCTGCCTCTGAGGACCTTATCCCGGAGCCCATCCTGCAGAGGCAGGGCAGCCTTCAGGTCTGTGGGTTTAGGGTTTAGGGTTTAGGGTTTGGGGTTTAGGGTTTAGGGTTTAGGGTTTAGGGTTTAGGGTTTAGGGTTTAGGGTTTAGGGGGTTTTCAGGGGTTTAGGGCAGCTTTCAGGTCTTTCAGGGCAGCTTTCGGGTCTTTGGGGCTTGGGGTCTGGGCTTTAGGCTGTTTAGGGGGTTTTGCTGCCCTATGCTCACCAACATGCTGAACCAACGCGGACAACATGCAGCACTACCGTGGCCACGCTTGCTGCGCCTCCGTGGAGGTAACCCTAAAAGTCATGGCAGTCCACGTTTCGTGGGCTTTGGTTCCCAAGCGGTGTCCAGTCTTCCCACGGACCGGGTGGACGAAGTACGATGCAGCCGTCGGTTGGTGTGGCTTACTCTCGTCTTGCCGCAACCTCCTTGCCAAGGTGACCCAGCGAATCAGTACCGGGTTTAAGATTTGTAGGGTTTAAGGTTTCGGCGTTAAGTTTTTTGGGGATTAGGCCCAATTCTGGTAAGGCACCATGATAGGGTTTACGTGGGTTCTAGGATGGAGGGCTAGGCCGTTGTTCTTGGGAGAAGACCAAGTCCCTCAAGCCCCCCAAGCCTGCACCCTAAACGAGGTTTAGGGTTTAGGGTAAGCCTAAACCCTAAACCCTAAACCCCAAACCCTAAACCCTAAACGCCCTTTGACCCCAAGCCCAGAACTGGGGGGGGGGGGGGGGCTTTATTCATGTAGGCTTACGGCAACCTTGACTGGCCCGCAGACCCCCGACCGCTATTTTTCAGGGCTTCTAGCTTACAGGCTTCAGAGGTAAGGGTTCGCATGTAGGGCTCACATGTTAGGGTTTAGGGTTTAGGGTTTAGGGTTTAGGGTTTAGGGTTTAGGGTTTAGGGTTTAGGGTTTTAGGCTACGTTGTTGTTTCTAGAAGCACGCCAAAGCCGCTCTGAGACCCCACAGTAGAGCCATGAGTCCCCTTACGCTAGACCTGTGCCCTTAAGCCCTTCACCCTACACCCTACACCCTACACCCTACACCCTACGCCCTAAACCCTAAACCCTAAACCCTAAACCCTAAACCCTAAACCCCAAGCCCTGAACCCTAAACCCTAAATCCCAACTAAACTAAACACGCGCGAGTTGTGCAGGTGCATCAAGGTCGCGGATGAGGCGCCCAGCGACTTGAAGTCCAACCTCCGCCGCGCCTACTCCAAGTTCACCCAGGAGTTATTGGGAAGGATGTTTAGGGTTTAGGGTTTAGGGTTTAGGGTTCTTAAGGGAGGGGGGTTCAAGGGAGTTATGTCCCTAAGGCTCCCTAAGCTTCCCTAAGGTTCCCTAGGTACCTACCCTCCATGAATCCCTCTCCGATAAAGGAGTCGGGGGAGTTTCTAAACAATCATTTGTCCTTTTTTCCATATGGATAAGCATGAGCAGTCGAGATCGCACTATTTTGAGATTTCCTAAAGCATCGTATCGTAGCAGGGCATATCATAGCACAGCATTTATAAGTAAGGGGTTTAACTAAAATTCATGTGCAAATATAAATACGGGTTCATGTAAATATAGAAGTTCATTCTGTGTTATGTGCAAACATACATTCAAATTCAAACCTTTTAATTTTAAATTTGATAGGTATGTTTTTTTAAAATACATATTGAATTCACACGGTCGACATGAAGACAGATACAAATTGTACATCTGAATACACATAAAGGAACAGAAACAAGTAAACAGAGAATGAATGAATCAGTAGGTAGGTAAAAGCACATGTAAGTCAATAAATATTACATAGAATGAAAAATCTGTACACGTATACAGTACACATAATATACACATGGCTCGAGCATCTGCTGGAAAGCTTTGGCCCCTACACATGAAGGACCACAATCACACCCCTCAAGCAAAGCTAAGCCCTAACCAACTTCATAATTTCCATAAACCACAAACCCCAAGCCCCAAACGGTTTAGGGTTTAGGTTTTAGGGTTTAGCCCTCAACCCCTAAACCCGAAATCCTGACCTCCCAACCCTGCTAAAAGTTTTCTGACTCCCGGGCCTTGCGGGCTGCCATCTTCGCGCTGCCTCGCAGGAGAATATCGATGCCTGCATGAAGCCCCGAGAGCATCTTGCCTGGTTGGTATACTACTGTACCCATTGCTTAAGGAGCCCTTTAAAGATGTTCTTCCTTATAAGGGTATTGGAGAGGTTCTTGTTTGTTTTGGAGGTTCTTAGCAGCAAATCGGCAAGCGTAGTATGGGGTTTGGGCTTCAGGGATTTAGGGGGAGAGTGCACTTGAGTGCACGTCTCAGCGGAAACCGCGCGTTCCTATGGCGATAATGACATGCAGAGGCAAATGTATGGGTGTAGGGTTTGGGTCAGGGCTTGTAGGGTCTGCTTACTTAGCCAATCGTTGAACTTTAGACTTTTTGGGTTTCCTTATTTAGTATGAATAATAATGTTTAACCTCTTTTCCCTTGGTTATTGGAGAAGTAAGTCGAAGGTTTTGGACGTTTTAGAGGCTTTAGGCATGATGGCGCAACCTCTGAACCCTAAACCCTAAACCCTAAACCCTAAACCCTAAACCCTAAACCCTAAACCCTAAACCCTAAACCCTAAACCCGGCAGACAACTCCCAGATTCGATTCCGCTGAGGTTTAAGGCCACGCTCTTTGCCCTCTGCTTCTTTCACTCGCTGATCTCAGGAGCACTGCCGGTCAGAGATGGTTTCTTCTTCTAGGATGCCCAGTAGTACCCTTATTCCCTTTTTTGGGGGGGTTTCTGTTCCCTTATAAACCCCTTTAAGCAAAAAAGGGCACCCTTGATAAGCCTAGGTTACTGGGCAGCCTAGACTTAGTTTAGGGGCACAAAGGTTGCAGACGGGCACGAGTCAATCGAGCAGCTTCGGTTTCAGGGGTTCATTTTTCCCGGAGTCGGATTTAGCATTGGATTTCCCGTTTCCAAAGGCACCTTCTTACATGACCAGATAGCTATACCGAGGAAGTTCACCCTAAGCCTGAAGTGCACCAAACGAAGGATGGGCATAAGCCACTGGGTGTAACAAGGAAGTTGAACCCTCCCTAAACCCTAAACCCGAAACCCTAAACCCTAAACCCCAAACCCGAAACCCTAAGTCCACGAAAAGCAAGATGAGTATAAGCCACTGGGTGCATAAGGGGGCTTCTGGCGGGTCCAGTGCAAGGGGTCATGTGAGTTCTAAGGCTGCAGGCTTGTTCGCCTTGCCCTAAGTCAGGGATTTAGGGTTTAGGGTTTAGGGTTTAGGGTTTAGGGTTTAGGGCTCAGGGGTTTAGGGTTTAGAGGGTTTAGGGTTTGGGGCTTCCGGTTTAGGCTTTAGGGTCTAGGGCAAGGGTTTAGGGTAACTCGTAGCCCGCCTCATCCTGAAGCCCCAACCCCAGACCAGCCAGTTCCCAAGAAGAAGGCAGAGCCCAGCGCCTCAAAGGGCATTGTGGGGTTTAGGGTTTAGGGTTTAGGGTTTAGGGTTCCGGGTTTAGGGTTTAGGGTTTAGGGTGCAGGGTGTGTGGGGCCAAGGAGATCCTGTTCCCGAGGTGAGGATTGTCCTAAGTTAGGGTTCAAGGTTTTTGAAAGTCTTGAGGGCTTAGGGTTGCGGAGGACACCCAGCCTGAGCCCAAACTACGAACACCCAAATCCGGAAGCCCTCAACGCCCCAAACCCTGCAAGGTTTAGGGCTTTATGGTTTAGGGTATTGGGTAACCCTACATGAGCATCAGTCAATCCCTAAGCCCTAAACCCTAAACCCCAAACCCTAAACCTCAAACCCAGATCCCAGGACGCATTAAATTCGGCGCCCAGGGCTGGCGGGGCGCTCAGCGGTCTTAGGGTTGTCCTCCCAGCTGTTCCCAAGAGCGTTTGGGGGGGGTTTGGGGTTTAAGGGCTTATCGGGGTGGTATTTAGGGTTTAGGGTTTAGGGTTTAGGGTTTAGGGTTTTGGATCCCTATCACAATGCGGCACCTAGTATTTAGGGTACCCCCAAAAGGGATCATAACTTTGACAGCCACCCCTAGGTGTCAGGCTTTAGGGCTTAGGGTTTAGGAAACGGTGTCCCAGTGTATCTGGGTCTCGGACGGCTGTGGAACAGCAAGAGGGCTTTGGGTTAGGCTGATTCATGCTTCATGGCACCTGGGTCTTATAAAGCTGTGTCGGGTAAGGGTTTCGCCATTGCCGAGCTTGCGGCGCCCTAAACCCTAAACCCTGAACCCTGAACCCTGAACCCTGAACCCTAAACCCTAAACCCTAAACCCTAAACCCTAAACCCTAAACCCTAAACCCCAAACCCCAAACCCCCAAACCCCAAACCAAACCCCTCCACTCCCTAACTCGAAGTCAGGGTCTCGACTCTGCGGCCAGGTCCAAGAAGTATCCGTTCAACGACGGCGACTTGACAATCTGCTGGAGCCCCAAGGGGGTGTCACACTCGAAACCCGAAACCTGAACTTGGTTTAGGGTTAGGGTTTAGGGTTTAGGGTTTAGGGTGAAACCCTTAACCCCACAGGTGTTTTGCAATGTTGTCAGTTTCGGGATTGGTGGTTTAGTTGGAGACGAGGATGTATCACAGCACGGGGCATTTCCAAAGGAAGCTTCAAGGGACCAAAGGAGGGACTCTTTATGAGGGACCTCAGGGGTAATGCAGGTGTAATGTAGGGGCTGCTTATGTTTATAGGGACTGCATACGGTGTGTATAGATTATTCAGTAAATCAGTAAATACATTAAGCAATAATTGAATCAATAAGTAAATAAATACATCAATGAATAAATACATAAATAAATGCACCAAATACATACATACATATACATACATACATACATACATACATACATACATACATACATACATACATACATATATACACATACTTTTGTTGTTTATTTGTCTATCTATTTACTTAGTTTTCTGTTTGTATATGTACGGGATATATAGGGGGATAAGATTAAGGGTCCCTTCTAGGGATCCCTCCCTACATCCCCTAAGAAGCTCGTGCGCCCCATTAGAGCTCAGCATGCTGTCTACCTGGAGCCTCCCTAAACCCTAAATGGACTAAACCCTAAACCCTAAACCCTAAACCCTAAACCCTAAACCCTAAACCCTAAACCCTAAACCCTAAACCCTGTATTTCTCATCACAGGGGCATTTTGTCCAAAGGGCTAACTTCGCATCAAGGCCCAACAACGCCTCGGACCTCGTCCAGTTTCTTGATTTCTTCACGCGCTGCTGGTTTTCCGAACAGGAAAACGCTCGAACTTGAGCCAGATCGGCCTTGAGCTCTGTGCTCGGCTCTGGGCTGTCTGACCGTCGCGGAGGGCCTTCAGTAAAGAGGGCCAGGATAGACGCCGCACCGAAGGGCGAGTTTGTTGTGGGAATGGCCGCCCAGGATGGTAGCGCCGGTGGGCGCGAGCGTCGCAGACGTGAAAAGCCATGGCAATGAGGTACGAGCCAGCAAACTACCGATCGACAACGGCCGAGGGGCAAAGTGAGAAGTAGCAGACCTGCTTGCCAACCCTAAACCCTCAACCCTCAACCCTAAACCCTAAACCCTAACCCTAAACCCTAAGCCCTAAACCCTAAACCCTAAACCCTCAACCCTTAACCCTCAACCCTCAACCCTCAGCCCTACAGCCCTACACGAGGGTTAGCCTCGCAAATCGCCTCCCAACGCTCCGCGACCGTAATACCGACCCAGGGCCCCAGATTGCTAGCAAAAGCAGGCTTCTTGCAGGTGTTTTTTTTGGTGGTAGCATAGGCTCCTGTTACACTGTTACATATTGCCATGTTCATATAGAGGTAAGTTCACTATTATTCCCCACCTTCGGTGTGGGGTTTTTAGATTTTAAACTCAACTCTTCTCGGACGGAACTCTTCTCCTCGCCCGGAACTCTTCTCCTCGCCCGGTCTACTCCCAGAGACTCCCCGGAGTGCCCAACCCCAGAGACTCCCTGGAGTGCCCAACCCCAAGAGACTTGTTGGAGTGTCAGAGAATTCTTGGAGTGCCCACCCAGAGACTCCTGGAGTGCCCAACCCCAGAGTCTCCCTCGAGTGCCCAACCGCAAGAGACTCCCCGGAGTGCCCAACCCAGAGACTCCCTGAAATGCCCAACCCCAATCCAAATCCCTGAGGTGGGGATGTTCGAAGTAAAATAATCGTTTATGTATTTATTTATTCGCATATATAAATACATATATAGCATATGTGTGTGCACACACATATATGAGAATATTAATAAAGAAGAGAGCCCCTACTACATATGCCACTCTGGTCGAACAACCCAGAGCTCTGAACTAAACCGAACCCTGAACCGTTCGACGGGTTAGGGGCCCTTGGCCCTAAACAATCCTACGCCCTCAACCCTTCTAACCCTCAACCCTAAACCCTCAACCCTCAAGCCTAAACCGTAAACCGTAAAACCCTCAACCCTCAACCCTAAATCCTAAACCCTAAACCCTAAACCCTAAACTCTAAACTCTAAACTGAACAGTCCAAAGCCAGAAGCAACCCTCCAGCCTGAGCAGCCCTCCACCCCAGGCAGCCCTATGCCTCGCACCAAAGCACCGATTCTTTGTTTGATGCTTCTAGAGGGAGGTTGAACCCTAAACCCTGTTGAAATCCTAAACCCTAAACACTTAAACCCAAAACCTGAAGCTTTAAGCCTGAAACCCTAAGCCCGAAGCCCTAAGCCCTAAGCCCTAAGCCCTAAGCCCTAAGCCCTAAGCCCTAAGCCCTAAGCCCTAATCCCTAAGCCCTAAGCCCTAAGCCCTAAGCCCCTAAACCCCAAGCCCTAAACACCCAAGCCCTAAACCCTGAACCCCTTCTTCCCTGTGCTCAGGTGGCCAGGTGCTGAAGAACTACCTCAACAACGCGGAGAACCTGGGGACGGAGGTGTGGGCAGGGTTTAGGGTTTAGGGTTTAGGGTTTAGCATTTAGTTTTAGGGTTTTGCGCTTAGGGTTTTGGGTTTTGGGTTTTGGGTTTTGGGTTTTGGGTTTTGGGTTTTGGGTTTTGGCGTTTAGTGGGAGTGGGTTGGAAGGCTTTAGGGTTTTTTGGTGAGTTTAGGGTCAAGGGTTTAGGGTTTGGGTTTTAGAGGCTAAGGGTGTGTAGGATTTAGGTTTAGGGGTTTGGGCGTTGAGTGGTTAAGGGGGTTTACGGTTTAGGGTTTTGGGGGCTTGGGGGTAGGGTTTAGGGGTTTACGGTAGGTGCCATTGAGTTTTCGGGCTGTGTGGGTACTTCTCTAATTTAGGTTCCTCTTGTATAGTATGCAACCCTAGAAACAGGATCCCAAGATGAACGCTAATTTGGAGACTACCCATGTAATTTACCCTGAACCTTAAACCCTAAAACCTAAACCCTAAACCCTAAACCCTAAACCCTAAACCCTAAACCCTAAACCCTAAACCCTAAACCGGTTTAGGAGTATATAGAGGCTGCAGCTCCAGGTTTAAGGTGTCGTTTTGCCCAGAGCGCGGGCTTCGCGTAAATCCCAAGCTGCAACCTTCCCAGTTCCTGAAGCACGAGGTTTAGGGTTTAGGGTTTAGGGTTTAGGGTTTAGGGTTTAGGGTTTAGGGTTTAGGGTTTAGGGCAAAGTTTAGGGTCCAGGTCTTAGGGTTTACGGTTCACTTCCTCTCCCTCCCCAAAGCAGGTTCCCTGGCCGGATCTCCGCTACATCTTCGGCGAGATCATGTACGGAGGCCACATCACCGACCCTGGTCCCACAAGCTATCCCGGTTTAGGGTTTGGGGTTTGGGGTTTAGGGTTTAGGGTTTAGGGTTTAGGGTTTAGGGTTTAGGGTTTAGGGTTTAGGGTTTAGGACCACATCACCGACCCTTGTCCCAGAGGTCGCCCCACCAAGCTGCTGACGTCTTGTGTTTATTCGGGATTTAGAGTTTAGGGTTTGTGGCTTTAGTGCCCTTCTACAGCCGAAAAGAAGTGAACCCCCACCTTGGATTTTCCCAAACTCTACAATCCTGGGATTTAGTCAGTTGTTGGAAGATGTCGGCTGCCCTAAACCCTAAACCCTAAACCCTAAACCCGTAGCCATTTTGGCTCAAGTCGCCGTGAACCAGCTCAGAAAGCCTCGAGCCGTAGAATCCTCTTCCGATCACCATGCAGCTCATCTACAAGAAGAATGCCATGGTTACACTGTCGGAGATAGCCACCGCGCATGGCGTGGGGTGCACTGGACACGCGGGCGTGCATGTGGGAGTGCACTTTTATTGTAAAATATAAAGAGAAGAAGAGAAGAGAATTTGTCTTTTGGTTCGTGTTTTTGGTTATGTTTTTTTGTATTTTGCTTTTGAGTGTTATTAGCATGATTATCATTATTAGCATTCTTAGTATTATTTCGCTAAACTGCCGGTTAAACCGAGGACGTGCTGGATCACCCCAGCACTTGCAGCGGAAATCGAAGCAGTAAAGCAGCGTAGGCTACATGGACACCCTCAGGCCACTCAGGAATACAAAAGGCTCAAAACACAGGCTCGCAAAGTAAAACGCCACTGGCTAAGGGATCAGGTCCTGCAATCTCATAATCAGGGGGCGCAAGCGCTTTGGCGGAACCTCCGTAAAATGAAAGCGGGCTTTAGAGAAAGAAAATCCAGGCTTAAAAAGGAAGGTCGGCCGGTACCTTGGGATAAACAGCATGAGGCTTTCGCAGACCACCTCGCCAAAGTGCAATGGGGTCCCACCACGGTCACGGCAGAAGAAAGGGAATTGCTACGGGAGTCACCCCCTTTACACGCGCCCTCGGCTACACCGCCCTTGCCCTTCACGATGATAGAACTCTCTGAAGTTATCAAGCAACTGCGCAAGGCTAAAGCGCCAGGTCCGGATAATATTCGCAATGAGATGGTGCTACTTCTGGATTACATAGGGGAACAACAGCTATTGGAAATGTTCAACGATTGCTTCAGTAGCGCCACGGTTCCCCAAGAGTGGAAAGAGGCTCTTATCGTTAGTATCTATAAAGGCAAAGGCTCAGATTCGGACCCTGCTAACTATAGGCCAATTTCCTTACTAAACACCTTCATTACTTCAAAAGAGACTTGCTAAAGCGCACGACCATCAGCTTCGGAGCACGCAATTTGGTTTTAGGGCTAATAGATCCACGCAACAACCACTGTTCGTATTACGCAGATTGCAAGACCTAGCGCTGAAAACAGGCTCTCCCTTTCAGCTGCTATTCCTAGACTGGAGAATGGCGTTTGACAAAGTAGATCATGATTCAATGATTATCGCATTGGAGCGCCTTGGAGTACACCGCCAATACGTAGACATTATCAGAGATCTCTACACCAATCAAACATTCTGTACGCGAGGGCCCTTCGGGGACATCGCCAAGGCTACACCTCACACAGGTATTCGGCAAGGCTGCCCCCTAAGCCCCTACCTATTTATTATGGTTATGACAGTACTTTTCTTCGATGTAGACCACAGGCTCCGTACACATGGCACTCCCACTAACTCATGGTCGGTAGGCAAGCCAGTATACGACCTGGAATATGCCGATGACACGCTCCTCATTTCGGTTACAAAGCCACAAATGAACGACATACTTAAGGCTATTGAAGTAGAAGCCACCCTATACGGGATGCTGCTGAACAAAGAAAAAACAGTCTTACTGGAGTACAACGCCGACGCTCCCCAGGTCCTATATTTTGCCGATGGCTCCCCGGTCCCCATAACCACTGACACCAAATATTTAGGCTCACAGGTTACATGGGAAAAGGCCACTAAGCACGCCATAGAAGCTCGTAAAGTTAAAGCGCACACCTCCTACATCAAGCTGCAACATTTCTGGAGGTCGCGAATCAATTCGAAAACTAAAACTAGAATCTTCCATGCCACAATCTTGCCTACTTAACTGTACGGATTGGATACGCTTACTCTGGAAATTAAGCACCTAAAGACCATAGATGCCTGGTACCACAGATATCTTCGTAGAGCACTAGGAGTTAAGGATTCATATTATGCACACATCTCGAATAGGCGGGTATGGACGCTAGCTGGCCGACCCACGCTACCATCCCAAATTCTGACCTCTGCCCAGTTAAAGCAACTGGCAAATAGCTTGGCTACACCGCCCAACAATCCGGTGCACCATGTAGTATACTCTCCGGGTTGGAAGGATAGAATCAAATTCACCAAGTCTTCACATAGAGGGCACCCTCAAAGATATTGGCTGGAACTCAATACGGAGTATGCATTACCTGCACTTAAAGAATACATAAGGCTAAACCGCATAGATACGGAGGAACACAGGCAAGACTTCTTAGGCCTCAAACACCTCCTTAATAAGGACCCCCGCTTCCTGTCTTTCCTGGAATCTGCGCCGACGCGCTGCCCCCACTTGTTCAAAAGACACGCCAAAGCTCTTGCATGCGCATGGCTGCCATAAAAAAAACCCTAAACCCTAAACCCTAAACCCGTCTTGGATTGCACGGATGGTGCTCGCCGCAAGTTGACCGCAGCAGGCCAATGTCACACACACACACACACACTTAGCGCCCTCCAAACTCAGCAGTGTAGAAGCTTCCCAAAAGTATTTCGCAACCCTAAACTTTAGACCCTAAACCCTAAACCGTAAACCCTAAACCCGCCTCCCGAAAAATCATGAGCCCTAGAAAGCCAATGGAAGCCCCATATTGTGCATGTCCGACAATAACCTCCCCCATATACCCCCAATGTACTTCAATCCTTCTGAGAGGAACCCCTAAAAAGGGTTTAGGGTTTGGGGTTCAGGGTTTAGAGTTTATTAGGGTTTTTGGTTTTGAGGTTTAGGGTTCAGCTTTCGGATTTGGGTACGGTAACCCTAAACCTTAAACCGTAAAGCCCTAAGCCCGAAGCCCCAAACCACTCGAAAGGGGTTCCCTATTTTCTGACGTCCCCCAACAATCCCTACCTTAAACCCTCAACCCTCAACCCTAAACCCTAAACCCTACAAACCTTTAAGCCCTAAGACCATCGAAGCACCAAGGATCCTTGGGATCGGCGCGTGGGACTCTCAGTTCAGGGCCTTTGGTTCATGGCTTTGGGTTTAGGGTTTTGGGGTTTGGGGTTTGGGGTTTAGGGTTTAGGGTTTAGGGTTTGGGGTTTAGGGTTTAGGGTTTAGGGTTTAGGGCTGCCCGAGACGCCAGCTCACTCGGCCCCAACCGGCAGGTCCTTCGTTGAAATCCCGAGGTGCCAGTTCCTTCAACTCCAGCTCTCAAACAGTCAGGGTTTAGGGTTTAGGGTTTAGTGGTTAGGGTTTAGGGTTTAGGGTTTAGGAGATGTTTGCAGCAGCTCTTCTGCGTGCTGTCCAGCTCAGGCGCAGGAGGAAGCTTGCGGTTCAGGGTTTAGGGTTTCCGGGTTTAGGGTTTAGGGTTTCGGGTTTAGGGTTTAGGGTTTCGGGTTTAGGGGCATCTTCAGTCATCATGGGTGTTTGTTATTGAGGTTCTTGGCATGTTGGAGGTTGAAGGAAGGTTTGGTGGTGTGGGCTGAGGATGCATCACGGAGCTGTGAAGGTGGTCTGCGTGGTTGTGGTCGGGTTCCCCAAGCCGTAAATCCCAAACCCGACCCCGAAGGGCCCAAAGACCTCAAATGACAAGCCCTTTGGGCCCCAAAACAGATGAAAAGCCTTAAACATTGGGGTCTTGGGGGCCCTTTATAGGGTAAGACCAAAAACACTAAAAACTACTCTCAGTGTTGGGTTCGTAGGCAAGCGGGCAGAGTAGAACTGGCTCCGAGTTTTGCTGTGTTCGATATTGTGGTGGCTTGCTGCAGTGCGACTTTCGCAGTTCAAGGTTTGGTTTAGTTTAGGGATCAGGGCTTCGGGTTCAGGGTTGAGGCTCAAAACTGCAAAGCCCTAGATCCTACGCAACGGCCCTACATCCTAAACCACTGCAAGCAACACTGCAAGCAAATTCACGAACCTACTTTCCGATCATTCGTGGGATTCTACCTTGGATCTTTAAGGTTGTACCCCTGGGATGAGGACTGTTTCTTAAGGATACTGAAAGGGAGTATGAGGGTCATATTAGGAGTACAGTAATTAAGGGAAGCCTCTTAGGGGTACATCCTTTTGGGTCCGAGTACCCACTCCCTCACCCTAAACCCTAAACCCTAAACCCTAAACCCTAAACCCTAAACCCTAAACCCTAAACCCTAAACCCTAAACCCTAAACCCTAAACCCTAAACCCTAAACCCTAAACCCTAAACCCTAAACCCTAAAACCCTAGACCCTAAACCCTAAACCCTAAACCCTAAACCCACATCAAGGTGAACAACACCTACCTCGCCGTCCTGGTCACGCCGGAGCTGCTGGCAGGCGGAACGCTGGCGCCAGGCTTCAAGTCGCCCGCGCCTGGGCCCGCGCTAGGTCTTTTTGTATTGTTTGGAGTTCTTATTTAGGGTTTTGGGTTTTGGGTTTTGGACTTCTTTTGGGTTTCAGGATTTTTGGACCCCAAACCCCCTCAAGCCCCAAGCCCTACACCCCTCAAACGCTGAACCCTCAACCCCTCAAACCCCCTCAAACCCCTTCAAACCCCTTCGAACCCCTTCTAACCCCCTCAAACCTCCCAAAACCCCCTCAAAACCCCCTCAAACCCCTTCAAACCCCCCTCGAACCCCACACTCCTGCAAAAACTGGAGGATGCCAGCAAGCTCGAGTACTCACACTACGTCAAGTACATCGAGGAGCGATTCCCCCCAGAGGTGCCGCAGATGTTCGGCCTGCGCCCTTGGCGAAAATGAGTTGGGTTTAGGATTTTTGCGACATGGATGCCGTTGGTGCCTAAACCCTAAACCCTAAACCCTAAACCCTAAGCCCTAAGCCCTAAACCCTAAGCCCTAAACCCTGAACCCTGAACCCTAAATCCTTCTTTTGGTTTGGAGTTCCTTGGGCTGACTTTCGGGTCAGGATTAAGTGCAGCTTATTGGTTGCAGGCCCCTAAACCCTAAACCCTAAACCCTAAACCCTAAACCCTAAACCCTAAACCCTAAACCCTAAACCCTAAACCATCAGGGCTCATCTACCTAGAGGCTCATACATGGCCAACTTCCCGGGTTCGGTACCCTTAGGGTTTAGGGTTTAGGGTTTAGGGTTTAGGGTTTTAATCAAGCCTCTTAGGTAACAGAGGCCATGTCTTCAGGAAGACAGCCCTTCAACCCATAAACCCAACCCTCCAAAACCTCCCAACACCACACCCCCAGCCCCCCCGTCTCCCAACCCCCTGCAGAACAACTAGTCACCAAACCCCGAATCAAGCCCAACCCTCTAAAGTCCGATGCTCCCCAGTCTAAAGAAACCATGACATTGCTGGCCGCATATCGAGGCACCCGAATGCAGAGATCGGATTCTTGACGAACCAGGGCATCAGCATCTTCAAGACGATCCAAGCCACTCTGCTTGAGCTTATGACTAAACCCCTAGTGCAGTCCGTTTGCTGGGCACCTATCCTGAGATTCTCGCGGGTTCTGCCCCTAAACCCTACAAACCTAAACATCCCGTGATCCCTAAACCCTAAACCCTAAACCCTGTGCCCTGATTGTCCGCGTAATGTTCAGTTGCATCGGCTGACCTGGTCGATGCCTCTTCGTGTGAGCACACCCCTTGCCAATCTTCACGGTCACCTGCGAGTACTACAGCTTACTGCTTCAAAACCCAACTTTTCAACTTTTGGGCTTCTTGTAAGGTAGCTTATTCTGAAAGTATCAACTTTTATTTCCGTGGGTTTGGGGCCAGTAAGACAGGGGTTGGAATCATTACTAAGAGTATTCCCCTATGTTCCCTCAATAAATATACTACAATAACCCCTAAAAACCCTGTTCTCCTAAAGATTGAACCTGAAATTCAATCCACCCCCCCCCCCCCCCAAAACATTACAGAATAAACTGATGGTTGGGAGCTCAGTTGAGGATCCAACAGAATCCTATTGAATCCGAAGGCGTGCTTAGTGAATCTATCCGGCTTTTCTCTCAGGGTTGAACGGGGGATGATCTGAGTCATAAAAGTTTAGACTCATGTGTTAGGGCTGTCAGGGTCTCGTTTCTAGCCCGAACCCCCAAACCCCCGAAGCCCAAAACCTGGAAAACCATTTCTGCAATCTTCTTGTCGTCGTAGCTTCAGTGGGCTCGAACTTCGCGGGGCAAGTGGGCTTGGGGAGCTTCTTGGCCCAGCTGGGGACCTTAAAAGCGCTCGGCTGCTTTACACGCGGCTGGTCTGGCGTTTTGGGGTTTGGGGGGTGGGGGGCGGTTGGGAGGTGTGTCGGCGGGTGGCGTGGGGGGGGTTAGGGCTTAGGGTTTAGGGTCTAGGGGTTTAGGGTGAGTCTTAGGATTTTGCTTTGGGGTTCAGGGTTTCGGGGTTTAGAGTCTTAGGATGTATGCTTTGGGGTAATTATAGGGTTTGGGCATTTAGAGTTCGGATTCATGCTTTAGGGTTTAGTGTTTGGGGTTCAGAGTCTTAGCATTTCTGCTTTAATTAGGGCTTAGGGTTAGGAGGGTTTAGGGTTAGAGTCGTAGGGTTTTTGTTGTTGGGTTTTCAGGTTTCGGTCTTAAGATTCATGGAGTTTGGGGTTTAGGGGCGCAAGGAGGCGACTGCGGTTGTTATTGAGGGAGCGCAGGATTTCTGGTTTAGGGTTTTGGTAGGGGTTGGGAGAATCCTGCTCTGAGGAGATCACGGGCGGCGGCGGCGGCGGTGGCTCTGGGGATATCTCCCTGGCACAGCCGATCATCACGAACTACTGAACAAAGCCACTTGGTCACACGGAGACCAGATGTTCAGGGTAAAGGGTTTCCCTGAACTCTGAAACCACCAAAGCCCCAAACCTACAACACACCCCAAACCCCCTAACACCAACACGCCAAACCACACCCCCCCTAAACCCTAAAAACCGCAAGCCTAAACCCTAAACCCCAAACCCTAAACCCTAAAACCCTATGCAGGGACCTCACAGCCTAGGTCTAGGGTTTAGGGTTTGGAGTTTAGGGGTATTTTTAAGGGTTTAGGGTTGAGGGAGTTTGGAGTTTAGGGTTTTAGGACTTTAAGGGTCGTTTAGCTTTTGGCATCTGGGGGGGGGGGGGGAGTTCTTGGGTTTTTTTGGGTTGCTTTGGGGGTTGTAGGTTCTTTGGGAGGGTTCTTGGGCTTTGTTTAGGTGCTCTGGGGGTTTTAGGGTTTCGGGGAGAGTCTGGAGCACAGTTAGCGAGGTTGATCCCAGTCCCTACAAGAGGACCCTTCAGATAACCATACCCTAAAAAACCCTAAGCCCTCCAAACCCTGAACCCTAAACCACAAACCCGAAACCCCAAACCCTAAACCCTAAACCCCTAAACCCCAAACCCCAAACCCCAAACCCCAAACCCCAAACCCCAAACCCCAAACCCTAAACCCTAAACCCTAAACCCTAAACCCTAAACCCTAAACCTTAAACCCTAAACCCTAAACCCTAAACCCCAAACCCTGGAGACGGAGTCCGGCCTCCGGAGGCTTCCAACGAACCTTGACATGATCGACATTCGAGGCTTATAGTGTTCTTAAGGGAGGTAGGGTTAGGGCTGAGGATTTAGGGTTTAGGGTTTATAGGGTTTAGGGTTTAGGGGTTAGGGGTTCGCCCACTACTCCCCAAAAAGCTCCCTAAGCTCCCATAAGGTTCCCGAAAAACCTACCCCCCATGAACCCCCCTCCCTTAAGAACCCTATAAGAGTCAGTTGGGGGGGTAGTCGTGAGGTGGGGGAGTGGAGGGTTTTGAGGATGTGGGGTTTGGGGTTCAGGGTTTAGTGTTAGGGCTTCGTTCGGGGTCAGTGTTCAGGGTTTAGGGTATAGGGCTTCTTTCATGGGTTCCCCTGCTACCCCCCTCTTATACTACCCCCCCTAGGTTCCTCGAATGATCAAGGCCCCATTTAGGGATAGTTAAGCTGAATTAAGGTTATTCAAGGGGGGGAACCTAGGGGGGGGTAGGTTAGGGGGGGGGGGGGGTGTAGTAGGGGAGGGAACCCATGATTCTTGGGCTGTCTTGGATGCTGTGTTTGGGTGGGAGTGTTTGCGGGTTTTTTGGGGGCCTACGAGGAGAATCGGACATGGCAAGATGGTACTTCGGTTGAGATCGTTAGAGTTTGGGATCTTTGGACCCTAAACCCTAACCCCGAAACCCTAAACCCTAAACCCTAAACCCTAGACCCTAGCTGACTTTTCACTGGAAGGCTCGAAGCGCTCTGGGTTTCCATCTGTGCCCTAGTTGCTTCTCATGTTGCAGCATAGAGACACGGTGCAGAACGGATTGTACTTTCGAGGCTCCATCCTCTGCCGGGCCAGCCCCTGCACAGCTGCCGTGCATCCCGTCACGCGTCCGACCGTCGCATATATGGCTTACGTACCCCTGGCACCCGTCGCAGTCACGCGAGCCAGCCCAGCCACGTTTCCTGTCGGCCCGGTCACGCCCGCCGGCCAACCTCCTGCCAGCATAGCGGTCTGGGCGATCACGAATTCCCACACCTGCCAGTGGTCCAGCCACCGTGCGCCCAGTAATTAAGGCTCTCTCGCTCTCTCTCGCTCTCTCTCGCTCTCTCTCTCGCTCTCTCTCGCTCTCTCTCTCTCTCTCTCTCTCTCCTCTCTCTCGCGCCTTCGCTCTCTCGCTCTCCCGCTCTCCCGCTCGCTCGCGCTCTCTCTCTCTCTCTCTCGCTCTGTCGCACTCTCTCTCTCTCTCTCTGTCTCTTACCCCTTCCTCCAACCCTGAACCCTAAACCCTAAACCCTAAACCCCAAGCCCAAGGACAGCAGCGGCCTGAGTTTCGCGCCATGCATCACGGGCCTTGAAAGCCTGAAGTCCTGATAAACAGGTGGGGGTTTCCGAAAATAGGGGTTCCCCTATTGTGGGTTTAGGGTTTAGGGTTTAGGGTTTAGGGTTCGTTAAGGGGATACTATTTGGGGTATAAGAGGGGCACCCCTGTTTTGGGAAATACCCAGGTGACCTGTGTCCGATCTGCTGTGTCCGATCTGCACCCTGAGTACTACGTCCTTTTCTTTGGGGCAGCGCGTACTCTTAAGAAGTTTAGGGCTTAGGGTTTAGGTTTTATGTTGAGGTACTTCTACAAGGAAGGTCCGGATGCACCCTAAACCCTAAACCCTAAACCCTAAACCCTAAACCCTAAACCCTAAACCCTAAACCCTAAACCCTAAGCCGTTCAGGGCTTAGGGTGTGCGCGCCAGGGCGTCTGAAGGACGAGGACTACACGCCCTTTGTCATGGTCTCACTGCAGGAGGCCTCCTATTGGGTAGGAGGTTAGGCTTGCTTGGGGTTTGGGGATTTAGGGTTTAGGGTTTAGGGTTTAGGGTTAGGGTTTGGGGGGCCCAACATTTCAATCCTATACGTCAGAGGTGGCCCTTCTGCAGAACAGCACACATGTGGGGTTTAGGGTACAGGTGTTGGGGGTCCATGTCTTCGTGGGTTTAGGGGTCGCGCGGGGCTTTCAGGGGTTGTGTCGGAGCCAGGGTTTAGTGTGACATTTACGATTTAGGATTGAGGATTTAGGGTTTAGCCCTGACGTTGCTGGTGGAGCATCTTGGTTAGGTTAGAAAGCGACTCGCAATCCAAACCGGGCTTTGTCTATTGGCTCTTCACCCTAAACCCTAAACCCTAAACCCTAAACCCTAAACCCTAAACCCTAAACCCTAAACCCTAAACCCTAAACCCTAAACCCTTAAATAGGGATTCAATTCAGGGGCGTGCAGGTAGCAAATCCACGAAATGGTGGGCGATGGCTTTAGTAAGTTTGGTCCTCCGACCTGAGGGGCCGTTAACTTTTGAGGTCCAAATCCCCTAACCCTAAACCCTGAAACCCTTAAGGACCTGAGGGCTATACCCTAACATTGTGGTTTGTGGTTTAAAGTCCTGGAGAGTAGGGGATCATCGGATGTAGGATTGTTGGGGTGGTCTAGGTCTTGGCATTTCAGGGTCGGTACACCCTAAATCCTAAACCCTACACCCACCCTAAATCCCTGTGCAGGGGTTATAGGGTTTATGCGAAATCAGGCCGACCGCGTCAACGGCCTGTTGGACCAGATCCGCGGGTCCTTGCTCGAGTTGGAGTTGGGCATCTTGGCCGATCTTCTTTTAAGGAACGTGTAGGCCTTTAGGGCTTAGGTTTCCAGCGCAAGTAAGGGTGGCGTGTGTATGCACGCGCTTGCGATTTTGTTTTGCTGGAAGTGGAGTCCAGTTGCGGCTCGATGACGGAGGCCATGTCCCCTAAACTCTCGGCCCTCTCCAGGGTTCCCGAACTCCACCACAGCAACAAAGTCTTTTCTGGCTCTCTGATGAGCTGTAGCCTCAAAACTAGGCCTAAACCCTAAACCCTAAACCCCAAACCCTAAACCCTAAACTCCCAAATGCTTTATCACGTGGTCTTTCGGCTCGAAAGCCGCAAAGCAGCAGCCCCCTAGAGCGTTTAGGGTTCAGCGTTTAGGGTTTAGGGTTTGGTGCCAAGTTTTGGCGGCTTTCAAGCCATGTCGGCCGGATGCCCCATGGAGTTCGGCTACTGGAAGATCCGTGGACTGGGATCCATATTTCGCATGATCTTCGAGTATAAGGACCCAGGGTTAGGGTGTAGGGTTTGGGGTTTGGGGTTTAGGGATTGAGTGTAAGGACGGGTAAGGGGTTTAGGGGGTTTAGAGTTTAGGGTTTACGGCTTGGAGTTTCGGATGTAGGGTTTGGTGTTTAGGGGTGTGGGGATTGGGGACTTGGGGTTTTAATGATTGCGCAATACAACTTCGATCTTGTCTTAGTAGTAGAGTAGGTAACCTTTAACCTTTTTGGGTTAATATATTCCCCTTATAATCCCAAAGGTTAACCTTTAAAACCCCTAGGTACTGGACAGCTAAGTTGTAGCCTATTCACAGCAGCAGCAGCAGCGCCGACGACAGCCAGCAAAAGCCTGTGGCCTCCGTCCTGCAACCTCCAACAGCCCTAAACCCTCAAGCCTAAACCCTAAACCCTAAACCCTAAACCCTAAACCCTAAACCCTAAACCCTAAACCCTAAACCCTAAACCCTAAACCCTAAACCCTCCTAACCCAGAATCCCTGTGAACTCAAAGGTTTGGATCACTTTCCCTGAGGAGGCCAAGTATGAGGACAAGCAGTACTCGGACTTTGCTGAGTGGTTCGAGGGTCGCAAGCCGAAAGTTCTGGCGATGAATCCTTTGGCAAACCTCCCTTACTTGATAGATGGTGACAAGTGCATCTGCCAGACAAACGCCATCCTCCACTACTTGGGCGAGAAGCTTACTGTTGGTTAGTAAGGGGATGAGGTACCCTATGTAATCCCTCGAGGGGTGTGCAAAGGGCGTATATAGGGAGATACAGGGTACCTTATTCCCCTCATTCCCTTGACCAACAGCAAGGAAGTACGGGCTCAACGGGAGCACAGACGCCCAGAAGCTTCTAACCAGAGAGCTCCTCTGCGAGATCTACGATGTGCGAAATGGCATGATCCTAGGCCCTGCGGATCTTTTATGTTTTCCCTTGTTGGGCTTTATAGAGGACCCTAAGCCCTAAACCCCAAACCCTAAACCCCAAACCCTAAACCCTCCACATTTAGATTTTTTATTCTGAGTGCTTAAGGGCCCTTTCAGGATCGATCTTTCCTATCCCTCTCACAACGTGTGCCGACACTTGGCCAATGGCAGGACTTTGAACTTTTTGGGTTTAGGGTTTCGGGGTTATATAGGGTTTAGGGTTTAGGGTTAAGGGTTAAGGGTTAAGGGTTATTTAGTAGGAACAATCAAGTCTTTTTTGCCTCCTTGGCTATAGGAGAAGTAAGGAGACGAGGGGGAGTACAAGGCGAAGGCAGAGAGCATCGTCGCCTCGCCCCTGTTCCTTGGTAGCCCAGTAAAGTGAAGGGTTTAGGGTTTAGGGCTTAGGGTTTGGGATTTGGGTTTAGGGTTTAGGGTTTAGGGTTAGCACAGTGGTACCCTTTCCTTTTTGTTCTGGGTTCCCTTAGAAAGTAAGCAACCCCCCCCTTCCCCCCCCCCCCCCAAAAAAAAAAAAAAATCAAAAACGTGCCCTTGTTGTAATATGGTAATATGGTTACGGGGCTACTAAGGTTCGCCAAGTTTGAGGCGGTTCTCGGCTTCAAGAACAACGTCTCCGGTGGCAAGTGCCTTGGGCACCAAATGAACCGTGATTTTGGGATCATACCCTAAGGGTCCATCCTAAATAGGGTTTAGGGTTTCGGGTTTAGGGTTTAGGGTTTAGGGTCCATGTACCTAAGTAGGGAATACTTGGGCCTTAAAGTACTTCCTATTCTGGGACATAGGGCCCAAGTATACAATATTAAGGTACATGGATTGGGATGCTCCCCCTTATCCTAACAGTCCTTAGTAGGGATTATAATAGTACTATAATCCCTTTTCAGGACTGTTAGTAGAAGGGGAACTAATACTACTAGAATCCGTATTGGGGTTTTTGAACCAGAAGCCTTTCATTTCATTTGGTCCAGAAGGTGGTTCCCGAAACCCTGAGCCTAAACCCTGAACCCTAAACCCTGAACCCTAAACCCTAAACCCTAAACCTAAACCCTAAACCCCAAACCCTAAACCCTACACCCTAATCCAGAAGGTGGTTCGTGCTTGCAGATGGCCCGGGCGTGGCGGATTTTCACATCTGGGAGATGTTGGACCAGCACAAGATGCTGGCCGAGAGGATCGGTGCCGCCCCAATTCTGGACAAGTTCCCAAAGTGCAAGGCTTTCTACGAGGCCCTAAACCCTAAACCCTATAAACCCTATAAACCCTATAAACCCTATAAACCCTATAAACCCTATAAACCCTATAAACCCTATAAACCCTATAAACCCTATAAACCCTATAAACCCTATAAACCCTAAACCCTAAACCCTATACACCCTAAACCCTAAACCCTTACCTTAAACCCGAAACCCTTAAACCCTAAACCCTAAGCCCTAGACCCTAAACCCTAAACCCTGACCTTGAACCCTTTACCCTTAAACCCTAAACCCTAAAACCTAAACGAGGCCTTCATGGCCATACCCACGCTCCAGAAGTACTTTGCTTCGGACGCGTACGCGTTTGACGTGAACTTCAAGCCGGCCAACGCCTACTTCACGTGAGAGCCCGCAGCTGTTTGTTATTGCCATGGGTTCCCCCAACTACCCCCCTCTATACTACCCCCCCCTGCTTCCCCCCTTAAAGAACCTTAATTAGAGACGGGGGTAATTCGTAGGGGAACCCATGATATTTTGGCATTCGCTCCCCCTCGCCTTGGCAGCCCATTTCTCGCAGACGCATCGAAGGATGCAGGCAGAGACGGTTGGATAAACTTGTCTTTGTGGCTGAAGGGGCCGTGACTTGCGCACTAAGACTCTGTAGGGATTCCCGTTGCCCCCGCGTTGATTGAGTGTTTTGAATGTGGTTGACGTCCTGTTGATGGAACCGAGCTCGAATGAGATGACCGCGTGTGATTCAAGGTTTCAGGGTGTTACGTCAGGTGCCTAGAATTCCTGCACCTCAAGGACTAAACGAACCCTAAAAGGGTTCATGGTTTGTATACCCCAGTAGGAATTTTAGTAGTATAGGGTACATGACCCCAATTTTGGGGTTCATTAGGTCGTTTTGGTAAGAGCTGGTCTTGAGGTATCAGTGGCGCGCTCAACGTCACAGAGAAGATGGAGGCAGCTGGCAGCAGCAGGGTTAATGAGTTTAGGGTCTAGGTTAGGTCTACACCCTAAACCCTAAACCCTAAACCCTAAACCCTAAATCCTAAATCCTAAACCCTAAACCCTAAACCCTAAACCCTAAACCCTAAACCCTAAACCCTAAACCCTAAACCCTAAGCGGCATTCAGGGTTGAGGGTCTGGGGCTGAGGATTTCGTGGCTTCGGTGAGGGAGGGGGCGTCACACGGAGGTGTTTTCGACATAACTGGCAAGTAAACCATAGGCACAGACCGCAAGCCCGAGCCGTAAGACCTAGCACTCTAGGACACCAAGCCAAAATATCTAAATTCCAAGGGTGTCAAGCTCCTCGAATTTGACGTCACTAAGCCCGAGCCCCCTGGCAAACCCTAAACCCTAAACCCCAAACCCTGAACCCCAAACACCAAACCCTAAACCCTAAACCCCAAACCCCAAGCCCTAAATACCAAACCCTAAACCCCAAACCCTGAACCCTAAACCCTAAACCCCAAACCCTAAACCCTAAACCCTAAGCCCCAGGCGCTGAGCGCAGACCTCCAGAGCAACAAGGTGAACGCCGGCTGGGCGGAGAAGGCCTCGAGCGCGGAGCGCCCCCTAAACCCTCATTACACACACCGGGTTTAGGGTTTAGGGTTTAGGGTTTAGGGTTTAGGCTTTAGGGTTTAGGGTCAACCCCGAACCCTCAAACTGCACCGCCGGCTACGAGTTGAGACTAGGCCCTGCATGAGGGTAGAGGGGTGTAAGGGTTGAGGGGTTTCAGGGTTGAAGGGGGTCTGGGGGTTGGGGTTCAGGGTTTAGGGGTTTAGGGTCACAGGGTCGTATGGTTTTAGGGTTGGAGGGGTTTAGGGCTTCAGGGCTTTAGGGTTCCGGTTCAACCTCAAATCCTCGAGCTGCACCGCCTGCTCGGGGTCCGGGTTTTGTACCTAAATTTGAGGTGGAAGGGTGCTAGGGTTGAAGGCATGAAAGGTTTAAGACGCTAAGGGCCCAAGGGTTAAAGGGTGTGAGGGTTTAGGGTTTGGGGTTTGGGGTTTAGGGTTTAGGGTTTAGGGTTGCATTCAAGCCCTGAACCCTGCGCCGTTCAGGATGTCAGGGCTCAGGGTTTGGAGTTTCAGGCTCAGGGCCCCGACGTGCACAAGACACGACCTACTAGTCCTTAAGAATGAGGGATTTAGGCAGCTGAAAGAAACCCAATCCCCAGACCCTAGACCCTAAACCCTAAACCCTAAACCCTAATTAAACCCTAAACCCCAGGTTTATATAGGGCGATATAAGGTGCCGAAGCCCCTCATTTCCTACTAAGTAGGACATTTTGACTTCACACCACTGGTGGGCCCACCCCTCAAGCTGCCCCAACCGTAAAGCGCTTCGAGATGTTTCTTAGGGTTTAGGGTTTAGGGTTCAGGCCCAATCCGTGGCCAAATGCCCCATAACCAATCGCAAAACCCTGTCTGCCTGGGGCCCTAAGCCCTAGAACCCACTGCTAAAAAAGGTTCTGGTAGACTCCAACACCCGATAAGCACTAAGACCACGCCCTATCAAGCCTTTAGAGCAAACCTACGCCGACCAACTCCCTACACCCTAGACCACGCTCGCAACCCCGGTTGTACTTAGACATAGCCCTAGTCGCGAAGCCTTTAACCGCTCCCTATACTACCATAATCCTTATTAAGGTATGGGAACCCTAAACTCTAAACTCTAAACCCTAAACCGCTTTCAGGCGTACCCGTCGCTAAAAGCGTTGAGCGCCTGGTTCGATGACTTCGCCCGGGCCTCGCGGTATTTCAGGGAGCCCTCAAAGCCTAGGTTTGCTTACTTGGAGGTTCATGGGAAATTAGAAATGGGGATAGAAGTATGTCAACTTATGATTCTAAGCTGACCTTTGGTACAAAAAACCCTACCCATAACTACCCAGGAACCTTCAAGTAGGGTGGTGTAGGTTACTTGTCCTCCTCATAACTACCCAGGAACCTTCAAGTAGGGTGGTGTAGGTGGTGTAGGTGGTGTAAGCTGTGACAGGGTTCTCCTACAAGTCTCCTAGAATGGAAAAGCTGTCCAGGGTCAGAAGCCCCAAACCCCCAACTCTTAACTAAACCCTAAACCGTAAACCCTAAAATCTGAACAAAAGCCTTATCTCCTAAACCCTGATTAAACTGAAAAGCTCGTGTGTCAGCTTCACTTGGAGGATTTACGTTTCAGATTGCTAGTATGAACTCGTGGTAGGTCCCTAAACAAAGCCTAAACCCTGAACCCTAAGCCCCGAAACCCTAAACCCTACACAGCATGAATTTAAAGTTTTGGGTGCCTGACTTACGCGGACCCTAAACTCGAAACCCAAAGCCTGCAGCCCCTTGCAACACCGCCCTAGAGTCCCAAGGCCTTAAGCACAGACCCTGAACAAAAAGACCCAGGGTTTGGGGTTTAGGGTTGAGGGTTGAGCGTTGAGGGTTTAGGGCCGCAGCAACAGTATCCTGAAATCAGGAATCTACCGTAAACCATAGGGGGGTTCCCTACATGAGGATCCCTTTGGGGCCCTCTGTAGAATACGGCATCCTTTTCATAGGACCCTGATTTGGAGAACTTACTTGTGGTATACCCTAACAACCCGAAACGCTAACCCGTGTGAGCCTCAACCTTAATCCCTAAGCCCCAAGACTCTACATCCCAAACCCTAAACCCCAAACCCTAAGCCATGAACCACAAAACCCCAATCCCAGACACGGTCAAACAGCAACCTCTTGCTGGACTTTGCTCACACCCACCCCGTCACCTTTACCCTCACCCACACCCATACCCACACCGACCTGCCCACGCACGCAAGCACGCCCTCACGCACGGCACTGACGCGCAAGCATGCACGCAAGCGTGCACACACGCGCGCGCATATACATACAAACATTTATATGTACACGTATACATATATATATATATATACACGAACAGATAGAGCCGACAGGACGACTCAGGGTTTTGGGTTTGTAAGTCATTAAGACATCCCCCAGCCTTCGCGAAGGTCCAGCGACACGAGCAGGTGGTGGACTGGACTGCGCAGTTGCCACTCGCTGGGTTTAGGGTTTAGGGTTTAGGGGTTTAGGTTTTTAGGGTTTAGGGCTTAGGGGTTAGGGTTTAGGGTTTCGGGTTTAGGGTTCAGGGCTTAGGGGTTAGGGTTTAGAGGGTTTAGGGTTTAGGGTTTAGGGTTTAGGGGCTGCCACAACATGCCCCCGAAGCCGGATCCTCCGCACATTTTTTGACTGGTCGGTTCAACCTTGAACCCTATTATAGACCCTAAGCCTTAAACCCTATAAAAGACCCCTAACTTAAACCCCGAAACTTAGCAAGAGCAGGAAAGGCTCGATTCACACCTCCCACCCAAAGCACATGCACAAATATGTGCGAGGCCTTTCTGGCTGCTGTAATATTCGGGCAATTTAGGTGTGTGCAGGGACGATACTCGTGGCCCGAACCCTGAACCCTTAAAGGGTTTCGGGTTTAGGGTTTAAGCACTAAGCCCTATAGATCCTGGGATTGAAGGCCCCAAGGAGCCCCTCCCAACTAAAAAATCTATTCCAAGCATGTCGGCCCGGCGGCACATCTTCAGTCCTCCTTGCTATACGAACTCTTAAGATACTTAAGAGGCTTATGACCTAAGTTGCGGAAACGCGTCTAACCTCCTACAAAGGTCCGGCCGTGGGATGTTCCCCCTTATACTCACAGCCCTTAATAGGGACTAAATAAGGGGGTACTCTAGTCCCTCTGAAAAACTCTGACTATAAGGGGGAACCCTAAACCCTAAACCCTAAACCCTAAACCCTAAACCCTCCTACAAGGGTCCGGCCTTTCGTCCCTTATAAGCCGAAGCCCCAGGAAGCTTCTGAAGTCCGTGTGGATTAGCGGCCTCTTCAACTCGATGTCCTTCCTGACCTCCAACATGCAGGCGCGATCTTAAGTGGAGTTCAGGGTTTAGGGTTTAGGGTTTGGGGTTTGGGGTTTAGGGTTTAGGGTTTAGGGTTTCGGGTAAGCCCTAAATTGCCTAGCTCTAAATATGGAGGGTCGGGTTTCGATCCAAGTTGCGGGTTTGTGTTTTTTTCGGGTGCGCTTGGTGGTCTATGGTAGTTATAGCGGGGGGGGGGGGAGGTGCATGACTGTAGTTGGTACGCGTGAACCTTCGAGTGCAATATCTGTTGGTCTCCCAATGGGCCCTTTTTCCCGTTTTGGGGCCTTACCTTCCTTATAAATCTGCCCAATGCCAAAAAGGGAGCCCTTATTATTCCTAGGTTACTGGGGATCCTAGATCTGTAGCAGGGTCCAGGGACTTGTAAGACATGACGACTCTGGGGCTGGGGCTGGGGGATTGAGTCGTGGCCTGGAAAGGGTACTGGATATTGAGCAGGCATGGGTTTAGGGTTTAGGGTTTAGGGT